TTATCTGGCTGGTGGAAGGCGTGGTCTATCTATTCTACACCCGTATCAACTACATATTTTGTTTTTTCTGGTCTGTCCAGAAACCTTATGTACTACCGGTTTCCACTAATGTATCATTGACTTGACCATGAGGCGTGAAGGGCGCATATCAATCTCCACGTGATTCTCTGGAGCATCCAATGTAAGTCAGTAGTGACAAGTACATTATTCGGCCCTGGTTACTTTCCAACCTAGTCAAACACCTGCCTTGAAGGGCACGACATTAGTGGCAACGCAGTTGTGGGCCATGGCGAATCAAACCCCCCTAACATATCAAACATCAACTAATAGCTGTAACATTTCGTGTGGTATAGTAAAATATCAAAGCGATTGAAGAAATTGATTAACAACGCAGTTGTGGCCCATGGCGACTCAAACCCTCCTAACATATCAAACATCAACTAATAGTTGTAACATGTCGTGTGGTATAGTCAATTATTGAAGCATTTGTGGGCTACGGCGACTCAAATCCAAATATATAACATATCAAACATCATCTCATTGTTACAACATTTCATGCGGTATCGTAAAATATCAAAGCGGTTGAAGAAATTGATTAAAGATGCATTATTGAAGATTTGGATTTTAAAGAACTTGTCGTTCTCGCTAAAACAGTTCAAAAATAGATACTGAAAAATGGATATATTAAAAATGTCAATTTTTTATGAAATGAATGTTGTCTATGATTTTGTTAGTATTTATTACATCCTTTCTCATATGCGATGAAAAAAGTCTAAATTTTCATAAAGCTAAATATCTTGGTCGTTTTGTTTCTGTAGAAAATGTTATGTATTTGCTTATATAATCTTGATGTGGATGATATTACGATCTAGATAAATTGGCTTGTAGAATTTGGTGACATCAGAACATTTTACTTTTGATTCCCAGGTTTAAAAAAAAAATGAAATGAAGTGTGGTTTATCGTACTGTTTTTCTGCAACTGGGATAATGAAGACGGACATACGCCGTGTACTGTGTCACGAGGGAGTGACTGTTCGGACAGGAGTGTTGCCGTCTACTCCTTGTCGCATTTCAACTGCCAAGTGTTAACGACAATGCGTTTTTTCACACCACCCATTGGTGATCTACCTACCGTGGATCCCAATGTGGTCCGGATAATCGCATGATCTTTTACTTTAGCAGTTATCTCTCGATTTTTGAATCCTGCATGGAATGTTTTACTGGCATCCTCTTGATATCTCAGTGCCACCTGACGATTTCAACAGAAAAATTTGATTATTTCTAAAGCGCAAATTACGATGCGCCTCGCTGTTTTTTAAAACGAAATGTTATCCATTGAGGAATAATCAATGTCCGCAATAAAACTCGAAGATTGTGACTTCTTTCTAAGCTATTTGACCATGTATACCTTTTGACTTCACACTCTTGTTGGCTAAAGCAATTGTTTCGCTCGATCTATTCCCACAAATTCGCTCTTGCGTTCCTGTTAGTATAAACGACTTCATTCAAACAGTAGTTAAATTAACCAAATGCGATCGCCGCGTTCACGGTCGGGTGACATTCGTGCGTAGTTTAAACGAATCTTAAGACAGATACCGCGACCATACAAAGGACCTAAAGCATACATCACTCTTTGGGAAAGTTGGAAAACTTACAAATACCATGTTTAAAATTGGTGTATTCGGGCTAGTGATGGCTATCAACAATATCAGCTTCTGTCTGCATAGTTAAACACACTTATAAACTAAACATTCATGACATTGTCCTTTTAAACTGATGTTGCACAGAACAATAAACATTTTAACTCATTATAAACATACTTTTGTGCAGTTGGCATCACTGCAGAGATAACTAGTCAGATGAGCCACTGACATGACATCCAATACCAATATAGTTTCGCATTTAATAGTAGAGCAAGATTAAAAATATAAACAAAAGCAATAGCCTAAGAAATAAATTAAAATTTACAGAGTAGAATCTGTTAGTTATTGGGTATAGACACTAAATGGTGCAGGGGTATTAGTAAAAATAATGCACAATTACCTGGATTAATATAATATTATTATGTATAATTTACAGGTGTTCGTACATATAAGATAACTTCTGCTGGTCAGAAGACAGAAATTAGCGCTATTTTAAATGTTACTGAGATAAGTAATCATTCAACAGATATAGGAAAACAAAACTCACTGGAAAACAAGTGGCAAGTATAGTATGGATTAGAGTTATTCAGTTGTACCCATGTCTGTTTAGGTGTATTCCCACGACGGCGCAGTTACAGAGCGTGATCAAAATCAATGCTTCCCACGAAGGCGCGGATATCAACTTGTCGGCTTTCGTTTGAAGAGAGACGTGTTGTTATGGGGAACTAATTAACGGTATTTAAAGATTTCAAGAATTCATGTTCTCCACTCTGAATTTTATTCACCAATAGGCAACTAATGATAAAAATCATCAAATCATCCAAGTGGTGTTCACATATTCGCTCACTCTCAATCAGTGCCATTTTTTAAAGATGTATAAAAGGCCGTAGAACTATTCGGAATTCAGATAATTTTCTATGCTTTTATTTCCTAACGTCATAATTATGTCAAACGTGTTGCTAAAATCTTAGTTAATTAGTAACATTAGGAATTATGAAAGTGTAAATTCTTATCATAACAATCATAACACCATTGTTACATTTTTAATCCGTTTTAACATAATTCCCACGAAGGCGTCGAAAACGACGTCATTTAATCTGTTACGGTCAATAACTGCGATGTCCTGGGAATAAACACCTGTTTATTGTCTGTAACTCACTTACTATTCTACAATCTACAATATCGTTATGTATTGTAAACAGTTTAATGGGAATGGGAATTCCATTCTAATCTATTTTTAAATTGTATTTTTATATTTTTGTATGAAGTAATTATTAATAAAGACGGCAGTGGTGCTGTTGGTCCGGTGTTTTCTAGAAAAGAAATTCAAATGGCCAATGCTACAAATTGTGTAATAAACTTTTATTCAAAGAAATGTGAATAAAATGACAAAACAAGAATGTATGTCCCTTTTCATTGCAGGGTGATATCTGATATATCGTCACAACAGGTGGCTATGTCTCATAACATGTATGGAGATGAAATAAAATAGCATCCGTAATTCAGTAACACACATCATTGTAACCAGGCCACTACACGCCTTATGATTTTAAATACAAATATTTCTTTTTGTCAGTGTAGTTACAAAGCAGTTGGCGCAGTCGAGAAAAAACACACATAAAATAAGATTTTAAAGATGATACAATACTTGAAAAATATATTAGGGTAACCGTCGCGAGACAGTGTATGACTTCTATTTCTAGGAGGTCTAATATGGTTACACATATATAGTAAACTGGTGTTGTACATTGCATGTCACAATAATTAGATACATCTTACTAAATATTTAGCACTGTGATCTGATCAATATATCTAATAAAACGCGATTTCACTTTATACAAATAAGATATTTGAGGTCTTACAGCCCGTTTATTACAACACAAATATATGTAGTTAGTATGTTGATGCTGTGTTTGGACAGGAATCTTAAAAAATAAAGCATTTCATTTGTTGTTGTTTTTTGGGTTTTTTTTCCATTCGTCACTTTTCTTGTACATCGTTCATCTCTTATATCGATTTTACTACATTCCATCGGCCGTCTTCATTAGCCCAGGTTAGGAGCAGAACAGTAGGACGCTAAACTCCATTTCATTTCACATTCCATCGATAAATTACGAACTAAATGAAGATGGGCATGAGTCAACTCCTTACCCACTTTAATTGAAATTGTACACCTCCGGTATAGCGTTCATAGTCCAATGATATTTAATAATAGGTGCAGGGCTAGCTAACAGTGTTATTGTACATGCATATTTCATATTATGCATAGTATATACACTGTTTATGTCTCGAATGATAAATGTGGGTATGGAATGTATCCAAATATCACGTGACTACCTACCTCTTACGTTTTAAACCTTCAGTGGTTGATATGCAGCTGGTATGGCGCCATGCACCAATAATTATGAATATAATCATTCTAGATCACGGAGGTGTGATCAGCATAATATTTAAATTGCATAATTTTTACCTGGACATAAACTAGCAATATAAATCTACATGAAAGATATTATTAGAAGAACAAAATGAAATATATTGAATGTAGAATGGCTTACCTTAATAATAGGAATAGGTTGTAAACACATAGTGTCTTTAATGTCTTCAAGAGATAATAATGAGTATGTCTCTTGAGTTTCTGGGTTTAAAGTATAAATTTGGATGCCACATATTTGATGAGCGTACATACTAACATATTTAATTCGTTTCTAATGGAGATGATTATAACCCAGACAAAGACATCAGTTTGAAAGCAAGCTAATGACTTAACCTTGAATTAACTAATTGTTAGTGTACACAATGACAATACCCTCTCATCCTGAAGATAAATGCTGTCCCCAATAGTAGTCATTCTATGATCGGAAGCATGACAGAGAAATACAACACAATAATTACATTTGAAATACAATGATATTTTCAAAAAATATACTTCTCAAATATAGTGCGGGGGCGGGGGTAATTATTCGCATAGAAATGGGTTGTTATTCTCGAGTCAAATGTAAGAACTCATAATCAAAATATTCACTGTGAATGATTGTGAAGAGTGTTTCAAACTGGCTTGGCTGTGAACGTGGGAACAGTGTAACTTATTGGGAATGACTGTTGTGGTTTTTTTCTTTTTATTTTGTCGTAGTATTATATTAATTAATTGTAATTTGTATTACTCTCTGGGGAATACTGTTAAAATACCCCACTTTATGACTTTATGAATTTCAAGATGGCGGCAACGGCGTCATGTCTCATAACGTCATGTGTACAGGTATTCTCGGAGAAATTTATTTTCAACATATAATCAGAAATCTTCGATGCTAAAATAATATTTGTATAGTACAATGTCTATCGTGTTTCCCTAGATAATGTCAGGTCAAATATTTTTAAATCTGTTTTTCATGATCCTTGATCCTTGATCCTTGCCAACTGTAAGTACAGTTAGTGTGAAGCTTTGAAAGCCAAAACAAGGCCGATCGTCCTTCTTTATAACACCAAATATGTCTATGTGCACGCGAACAGACTGGATCAAGGTTATCGTAACAATTTATTAATAATGAAATAATAATGTGACTCGTCTGAACTTTACGTAGTTTTATGCATTCACAATAAGCTTTATAAATGACATACAGGTGTACAACAAAGGTGCATGTATTTGAAAGTTGACAAGAATAAAAAAGCAAAACGATAGACTACTAAAAACTATTGTAATTGTCACGATGTGTATCGTATCGTGACGTACAGGCCCGTAGCTAGCCGAAAAATGTGTACTGTGTATTGATGTTGCGTTAAATATTAATTAGTATAGTGCATGTGGTGTGGTTTGCTGATTAAACGTTGAATATTGACTATTATACTTTGAGGTTGAATATTAACTAGTACGTGGTGTGCTTAACGTTGAATATTAACTAGTAAATGGTGTGCTGATTTCACGTTGAATGTTACATAATACCAGGTTGAACAGTAAGAAGAAAAAAGTGTACCTAACAAAATATTACCCGGTGTGACTAGTATACAGTGTTCTGACAGATTTGGAGACAAATAATAAATTGTGTAAAAAAACTGTTTAGGAATAAATGTTAACAGACCAGTGTGTATATTGGAAACATGTATAATATGATCAAGTATTTATTACTTCTAACAACAGGTAATATATGACATAACTCTTATATTTATATTGGTATTAACAATTTGTTATACGTCTGGTCGTAGTAGTCAGTAGGTCATCGTCCGTTTTCATAAACCAATTATGCTTCCTAACAACGGGATGAACAATATCCAATGTCGTTTTTGCCGAACGCGCAATCTACTACACTTATTAATAGGTTGTAAAAATGTCATCCATCCCCAACTATCACACTTTATGGATAAATTATGTAGTAGTCCTGCCAACCACTTTATCTACACCTGTAACATCCCATCCATCCCCAACTACCATTGCCACACTTTATGGATTAATTCTATAGAAATCCTACCAACCCCACCCGAGGTACACTTTTATATGGAGTGCCTGTTGATGTTGTGTTAAACCTATCTGCATTGTTACACAACTGTCTTACCATATAATGTCATAGATATCAGACTAGATACCCGGCCACCCAACTCTTACTCCAATGGATACTTTTGACCAATTGTAACTAAATGGCAGACGATTTCAAAATACATTTTATATATTATTCATTCCTTAACAAAATAACCACATTCTTTAATAACAGCTATATAATCACATCCTTTTACACAAGTAATATCATCATATGTGTTTTGTATTCCAGTAGTGTTTGTTATTGCTGATTGTGTGCTAACTTATCGTTGCTATAGACAACCAGGATCACCATGTTCACAACATACTTTAACATGTTCAGATGATCACGTCATAGCAGTAGATGAAACCGCTGGTTTTAGTATTGCATATGGCAGAAATAATCCCGTACATGCATGCCCTCAAGATGAGATGGACATATGTAATGCAACATGTTGTAGATATCAAGGTATTGATAAAGATGAACCTGATTATGAAGTTGTTCCTGGTTTCATACCAGTTAACCAATCAGATCGTTTATCAGTTTATAGAAACTGTTCAAATCAACCAACTTGTACCGTCACATCTCCTTACAGTCCTCATACTGGTTATCATTATATGTTTTATCCATACTACTGTCTTCCATGTAAGTTATCTTCTTAGACTAAATCACTAATATAGACATAAATTGAAGAATGTTACCTATAATGGTTTCAATTTACCATGTGTTACTGTCACAAAGACTTATGGCTCTATACGTTGACACCTTAATATAGATGAAAATGGGTATGAAAACATATATTAATGCAATATGAATTTATATAATTGGATTTATATTCATTTTTTTTTTAATATCGTAATTTCTAGTCAATTACGTATGTTATAGTGAACAGTCCGAATTGAACGATGGTCATTTAGCGATGCCTAATGCATTCTATATTATCATTTTATCGCTTGTGAATCAGCCAATTTTAATTACTGCCTCATTGTCTTGTAGGGTATGTTGTTCTTTGTTCATTACAAGTGGTAACCAAAACTATAGAATACATGACTTGTTTACGGATATTAAAATGCTGAAAATAACATCAATATTGGTTGATTCTAGTTTGTGTTTTGAATTTCAAATATTAAAGATACATTATGTGAGATTAGATAAAGAGCTGGCAGTTCTGACTATAATAGTTAAAAACTAGATAATGAATTTGCTGAAAATTTCAGTCAAATTGATCCACTCTGAACCGAGACTAGCGATGGAATTTTCGGCCTAGCTTTGATCATCATTGCTAAAGTCGTACGATAAAAAACATAGACTCGGTTATCCATTTCATGATTTAATTAAGAATGAAAGAGGAGCAGCAAATGGTATCCTAAACCAGTAAACATCGCAAGCTACCGTTGACGTCGAGGGTTGATTATGGTCTGGATAAGTTCATTGATGTCTAATTAATAATTGAGATAACATCTCAGGTCTAAGGAAAGACCCACAGCAGACAGATTTAGCTCTTGCATAATGTATGTTTAAGTAAAATATTACGTTAGAAGAATAGCTGTTTAACAGTGATCAGCGATGGCACTTGAAATAAGACGTTCGCTTTTAAACCTGGAGGTCCTATATGTTCAATCCCGGTGTTGGGGGTAGAAAGTACCTTGATTTCCTGGCGTGGCCCCATCTTGCTTGTCATTGGTAAAGGATGGAGGGGTGGGGGGCTTGGCAGCAGTTCGGATAGGGCGAAAACCCAAGATCGCGTATACTCATTCGCGTCTACGTAAAAGACCCCTTGACAGTTGGAATTCGAAATAAAGGTAGGTCTTGGGCCACTTTCCGGGAAGAATTTCGACATGTCTGCTTATGCCTGTGTTCATTATCTCAGTCGATGCAGAACCATTGGGAGAGAGAGAGATAGATAGAGAGAAATGGGGTTTAACGTCCACTCGACACAAACTAGGTCATTTCGGGACTAACATATGGTTCAATTTTATTTATATAATTCGGTTTGGCGTAGGGGTTTTAGCAGTGGGAGAAAAACCAGAGGACCCACTGTAAACCCACGAGGTTGGACAGGCGAAAGTACTCCTTGTCACGTACAACCGGGGAATCGAAACCACGCCAGTTGATTCAATGACAGACCTTTTTATATAACGCTCATGGGCTAACCATTCGCCCACCCCCCTCCACACCAGAACCACAACATGGCAAAAAATGCCGAAATCACTTTTCTATATTTCATTTATTTACAGTAAATCAGATGCACAATATGATGGATATCACCGATGTCAGTCTTCTACATGAATATTTATATTACTCTGGTAAAACACAAACTACAGGTACAACAATTACTAGATGTTGTAATATAACAAGCTCTGAACCAATAGAAGTATTTAGTGTCTACGTTGATCTGACAGAAGAATCAAGTTACAACGTGAAGATTTATTCACAGAATCAGACTTTATTACCCAGTGGAGATGGAGGTGGTTTATTCTATCATTTGGGAGGACTGTTCATGTCTGGAGACACGAATTACCATGTTGTTTTTGATAACTTAACTGCTGAAGAAGATGATTATATTTGGATTTTTCTAAACGCAGGTTAGAATAAATTTAAATTATAAGAGTTCTGTGAGCAAACCTTTTTCTCAAGAAATTTTAAACGGCTCAATTACCAGGTCTTGTAGCTGGAATTTCCCGCTTTTGATTAAAGCCAAATAGTGTATGGGCGTGGGTCCATTTTTATCTCTCCCCAACCCACAAAGTTAAGGTACAATTTTAATGTAGTCTTCAAAATATAAGCCCCCCTCTCCCTATGTAGAAATTAAAATGTACGATATATTCTACTGTTATAATTATCATGATTTTGCGTAGATACCAATATTCCTATCTAGTTAATGCCTATTAAGTCTTTTACACATTACTATGGTGGCCCATGGTTATCATAAAAAAATCCATCACAAATATTAAAAACTGTAAAAATAAATTTAAATGAAAATAAAAATTCGCTAAAAAATAACAAAAATGAAATCGAAAATAAAAACTAAATTAAATTAAATGAAATGAAAAAAAAATAATTTAAATTAAAATCGTTTTCATAAAAACAAAGTAAAATAAATGTAAATCAAAACCTGAAATGAAAATAAAAATTCTGTAAAAATATTTTTTTCTTTTTAAAAACTTAAATGAAAAAAAAAAATTCGCTAAAAAATAAAAAAGAAATCGAAAATAAAAACTAAATTAAATTAAATGAAATAAAAAAATAATTTGAATTAAAATCGTTTTCATAAAAAGCAAAGTAAAATAAATGTAAATCAAAACCTGAAATGAAAATAAAAATTCGCTAAAAATATTTTTTAAAAAAAAAGTAAGTTTGAAAACTTAAATAAAAAAAAATAAAAAACTTTTTTTTTAAATCGAGAAGTGAAATGAAAACTAAAATACGCATGTCTGTACGTGGCCCATCGTTATCATCGGCCCATCGTTATCATTCAAACAGAACTGTAATCGAACGCGCCGATTCCAGTTTTATTTCCCTTTTCTTCACGATCACGTCCAATTCAAAAACTTTTGGCATTATGAAATAGGAATAGAATTGGAATGGATCGAAAAAATGAAATCTGGGCGCGCCTCAAAAAGAAGATGTCCAACAAAAGGACGACAAAAAAAGGGCATCGCTTCCTCAAACGCCAACGTACCACCAAGGGAAATTGTGGTTCAGCGACTATCCTCTGAACCGGATAACAAGCAAACGTATAAACCAGTTCAACCGAGGGAGTTTGTGTCATTCGACTATCCAGAAATAATAGTAAAAAAACTTAAAATCGGCATGCTCTCATCATTTTAACCTGCCTGCAAAGAATTGCGATGTTCTAGTGTCAAACAAGGGGCCAAGCTGCACTAATATCAATCAGATACCTACGAGAAAGGATAAGGTAGGAGACAATTTATTAAGCCTAGGTAGGGCTAAGGCCACGATTTGATGATTTGTAAAATTTAAATTTGTTACAGGACTTAAACAAAACAGGCATATGAGTATGAGTATTAAAATCTGCCAATACTAATTGATACCTAATAGACTAAAAATAATTATTTTTAGTTAAAACTATTTAGCCCTAAAAATCAATTAACATTTGGTTAGGCCTGTCGTGGCCCCTTTGTTTTGTCTTTGTGCATTTCTGGGGAGCCACGGTGGCAAAGCGGGTATGGCGCTGACTCACTAGCGTGGAGGTAGCATGTTCGATCCCTGCATTGGCTCAGAAAGTTCATCGGGATATTCTGACGTGGTTTCCCAATATCAGTGGTGCAGGACAGAGGGCCTGACAAGGACAGCTGTCTAGTCGTTCGCATGGGATGAAAAACCGAGGTCCCGTGTTTACATTGGCATGCACGTAAAAGATCCCTTCATTAGCCCAGTCGAAGCAGAACAGTAGGATGTTGAACCCCCATTTCATTTCATTGCATCAATTCATTTCTTATTGGATGGCTGAACTCTTGGACTCAATGAAGTCCAACCAATTGAATTGCTTGCAGATATAACAAAATTCATTACATAGTCATGTTATTATTCTTTATTTGAATTGTAACTGAATTTTACTGTACACAACAAAAACCCTGTCTACAAGTTGGGCTAGGCATACTGCCTAGTCTAATTTAAACCAAGAATCATCCCAGCCAGGGACTTCAAGATAATGATTGCAATATCAAGAACAGGAGAGTTTTGGTTATATTCATTGTGAAGGCATGAATGTAACACATCAAATAATTTCACATAGATGATTTTATATACAGATAAGCTTCAAGTGCATCAGTTAAATCCAATTCTGAAAGATTGGGCAATAGTTCCTTGCTTCGTCTTTCCATCTCTTTGTCAACAAAAGCACCATCATCTAATACATCCGCTAAGGTTTTAACGTCCTCTAACTCTGCTTCAGAAACTCTTGATCCTGAAAACACGATATAAAAACTTGCTAACTCCGGAAGGGGGGTTGGATGGCTGAATGGTTAGCGTGCGCGCGCTGTATCATAAAGCCTGTCATTGAGTCAACTGGCGTGGTTTCGAATCCCCGGTTGTACGTGGCAAGGAGTAGGGTCGCCTGTCCAGCCTCGTGGGTTTTCTCCGGGACCTCCGGTTTCCTCCCACTGCTAAAGACCACTACGCGCAAGCGATTTATTGAAATAAAATCAAACCATATGTTAGTCCCGAAATGACCTAGTTTGTGTCGAGTGGACGTTAAACCCTATTTCTCTCTCTCTCTCTCTCTCTCTCGCTAACTCCGGTCATGGCAACTGCAATATTTGCAAATTATACTAGAATCTTTGACTTTCATAGGGATTTTGTTCCCTAGCAATCCTTATGTAATGGATAGAGTATACAAGCATATGAAACCTGAGAATAGACAGTGTAATAGATGCTTTGAGAACTATATCTTATTTAAATTCGTGCACACTTGTATTAAACTGTTTACAACATCTCATCTAATTAAGAGTGAGTTTAGCTATCAACATGTCTTCATCTTGTGGAAATGTAATTTTTCTGATGCAGTCAACACATAGAATAACTTTTAAGGACCAAGATACTGATCATGTATTAAGTCAAGTCTTACATGTGGAGATGGGAGAGCGAAATTTTCTTCTTAAAACTGATATATTTTTGGATATTTAGTTGGAATAGGAATCTGTTGAAAAGTAATTCCCATAGTGTGAACAAAAAAGTTTACTATATCAAAGTAAAATTATGATCATAGATTTCTTTGTTATTCATTTGCTCCTCTTGATAATACAAAATGTATGATATAACAGAAACCGTCCAAATAACTATCAAATAATGGATAGTTTTAGTCTTAATATGGCACAGTTAGTGAGTGATATTAATAATCACTCGTACATCCTACCATATAACGGATTAACTATGTTTATAATACAAGTGATTGTGACATCAACCTTTGATACTGGACCTGGCAACATGGTAATTGTACATTATTTATACCAGAAGAAATATTGGACTTGCATGGTGATTTCATTGAAATGCACACGCACAATAGTATATCTGTATTTTAAGGTTTTTCATGGTCTTATGCAAGACATTGCGTAGTATATTGAAACAACACTTGGGCCAAAGTACTCGTGCAGTATCAATGTTAGTCTGTATATATCTAACTATAATATAAGAGATGAATCAAATTCATGTCTGAATACTGTCGCGGACACTGATTCTCATTCATGAGGGATATGACACTGGTACAGTGTATATACATACCACATTCAGTAGAGCCATATGTTTCTGGAAAGTCATACGGGTGGTTGGGAATTCCTTTGGGCTGATCACTCTTTTGTTTCCTCATGCGATGATTATTCCAGAGTTCTACAAACTTATTGATTTCTTCTTGAACCAGTGGTAAATAAACTAGTGCGAGTACTTCTCTGAAGATACAGAACATATGTACCACATAAGTGCTTATATATTATTGCTGGTAACATACATAATAAATCATTTGAGTTTAGAGGAGTAATGCAGCTACTACGTGTGATTTTACACCGTATTTCTTTTTCTTGTCTTTTGCACATAATTGGAATTCAACTTACCTGTCTGTAATCTCATCAGGGTTGTAATAACCCTGATCGAATAAATACTGGAATTTTTCCTTAAAGTACTTAACCAGACGAGAGTTAAGTTCACGCCACCATCTTTCTATCTAAAATTATAATGAGATAATACTTATCAATGTAGGCAAATGAATGTGAACCAAAATGTTTAAACCAAGGCATCCCAAAATGCAACCATGGAGGTTTAGATTTTGATAACTCACATTCAAATATTGTAAGTTAACCAGTTCCGTGTAGGTAAAGGGTCAGTTGTTTAAATTATTTATGCCTTTCGCAAGAAAACATCTTTATCATAATAACAACTTTTTCCCCCACTTACTGTCCCTACATGTATGGAACTGACAACTCAAATATCATATCTTAAAAACTGGATCCTGTACAGATCTGATGAATTATATTTGTACAAGATAACAGACATGACCAACAACAGAGACAATCCAAGCAAATTTAAAAATATTCCATTGAAAACTGTACGTCTGTATCTTGTTGTGTTTTACAAAAAGTTGCAAAGGAACCAATGTGTATTATAATGCTTATAAAGGGACATAACCCTTTTCTTACACGCCACTGTTGTTGTTGTTCTTAGCGTTTAACGTCCGCTTCCACCGAAGGTGATATCGCAGACAAGTTCATTTTAATGATCTTAGCGCACGCGCAGGGGTCTTTGCTGTGGGAGGAAACCGGAGTACCCGGAGTAAACCCACGAGGTTGAGAAGGCGCCCCTATCTCCAAGCCACATACGCTCACACCAGGGATCGAAACCACAGCCGCAAGTCACTCATAAGATATTTCAAAAGAAAAGAAATGGGGTTTAAAGTCCTACTGCTCTGCTCCGACTGGGCTAATGAAGACGAGCATACGCCACACAGTGTGCAGTGAGGGAAATATGTCCCGGACAGTGACGCTATGGCCTACTCTTATATTGAATTCCAACTGTCAAGGGATCTTCTACGTGTACGCCAATGTTACATGGGATCTTGGTTTTTCGTACCATCTGAACGACTAGAGTTGTCCTTGTCAAGCCCTCCGTCCTGTACCACTCACAAGGGAAATCCACGTTGGAAAATCCCGTTGAACGAACCTGCAACCCACAGTGGCTCCCAAAATTCAAAAGAAATTGACATCCAGTAATTTAAGTGCATTAAAGTATACCAAGCATAAACAATATTATATGGTAAACCTGACACTATAGCATGTTTACATTATTAACATATTAATCTGATGGCATGATATGTCCATAAAAAGGCCATGCAGGAATCAAGATCTCATCAATAGAAACAATCATACAGAGCATCCTAAATACTCAATGAAAATTCGATCTCTAGCTTTTGACATTTGCATTTTAGTGAACATGATAGGACCATAAATATCTACTTCTAATGTAATAGTTTCACAAATTCCCATCGAAACGCTACCTATGTGTATTATATTAAAAACTCATCTATTGTATAATGCCAAAAAACGTCAAAACAACTATGCTTAAAACAGTCTGTACCCTGTTGCATTTAACAAGATAATTGTAGGTACACTGTAGATTGTGGGACAAGTGTTATTTTTCTAGTTTGAGTAATAAAGTTTAGGTAGAGGCAATTCTTGGAAATTCCATTCTGCATTACTGTTTGTTCTATACTGGTCATGGCTACTACTACTTGTGTTAAATAGTTACAACTTATCATGTTACAGAAAGCCTACCACACCTTGTTGGATGTTTAAGAACCAAATATAACAGAATCTTCTGGATTTTCAATTTCAGTACTCTGCAAATAAGCATGGATAGTTGCCATATGACCGTTTTCTGATCCTTTGTCCAGGCGCAAAATCTGACTTATCACTGGAAAGAAAACAAAAGTCAGATTATTGTTAAATGAACTTTTATATTCTCTCAAATATACTTTTTTGATTTACCACAAATTTTTTGGACACTTATTAACTGTTTTAGGCTAAATAGTGCCCCCCTCCCCCACTTTCCTTCCCCAAAAATGACATGCACACGATTCATAACTGATCCTAAGTCTACAAATCTGTAAAGACTGTATCTCAGTATACAATAGGACATAAGTTATCAGATCGTGCAAATTTGAAAAATTAAATATGAATTAAATTTTCTTTCAAATGCAAAAGTAGCTCAGTGAGTAAGGCACTGACTCGCTAACCTGTAGGTCCTGGGTTCAAGGGTGCCACAAGATTTTCTGCTGTGGTTTCCCCTTGCAGGATGGAGAGTCCAGCAAAGGACAACGTCTAGTTGAAAAACTGAGATCCTGTGTATACATTGACGTGCACGTCAAAGAACCCTTGACAGATAGAATTCGAATTAAGAGTAGGCCACAGCCAGGATGGAGCAGATAAGTAGTATGTTAAACCTCATTTCATTTCAAATTTAAGAGTTCAAAATTTGTTCATGCAGATTATCTGTAGGACAAATAACACCATTTGAATACTAAGATTATGTATTTATTAATTACCTCCAGTTCTGCTAATGAATTCATGATACCATTTTCCAATAATCTTCGGATTTTTATTTGTTTTCCCTACTTTAACATACAAAAGCTTACAGCTGTAAACATCTTGGACACCATATATAGCGAATGGGAACATGTTCCGCTGAAACCCCATTAACTTGTCATGACCATCTGCAGAGTATGTATGGTTTGGACCCTGAAAAAATGATACTGTTATATAATGTTCTGAAATAATATAAAAAGGGGAACATTAAAATGGGGTGGAGGGAACACCTGTTTAGTGTCATTGTGCCATACTTACTAAGTACGTCATTAATGAAGATTGATCCAAAATTATGAAATTTCCTTCTTTCTGATGACAACAATATTTCAAATTCCGGAGACAATTCACTGCACACAGACTACATATTTTGTTGAATTTCACCCGAAAATATGTCTGTCAAGTTGATTCCATGTCATTTTAAATCAATTTAGCACAGCGGCACACTGCCAGTGAAAGTGTACAAAGGAAAACGCTCCAAAATGTGTGCTTTTAACACGCTAAAATGTCCATAAGAGATGCTGTATCGCCACGCAATCTCTGACTTTAGTGGGTTAAATTATAAATTAGATTGAATAATCCAGTCTTTGACAGCTCTTCAGTCTAGTTATAAAAAATACCCCTCCACATATAGCGCTCAGAAATTTTCATTAGGTAGCTATATGACTAAAGACTTACCAATGACGTAAATGTTCCAATACCACCCCTTTTTCTTCTCGGTGCTATTTTCTCAAGCAGATCATCATGGTTTGAAGTTAAAATATCGTATACAAGCTGCCTTGGGACTGCTAATTTATGGTTAACTCGGATTTTTTTTATGCAGCAATCTATACCCAAGTAGTTTGCCCGGTCCTTGCAGTTCTTCTTCAATGGCAGATACAACTTGGCCTAGTCCAACTTGATAACTGATATATTTTATAACAAAGTAGGCAAGCCGACGGCTAAGGGTTGGAAGGCTCCATGTGTACTGATCGAAGTCGCGTTTCATGTAATCCAAGATTTCAGATCTCAATAAATTTTCCAATACATAGCCTTGAAGACTTGACTTTAATAGTTCATCTTCCTTCCACGTAAATATATATGTCGTACAAAACATCGTAAAACTGTCTACCAAACTAATAGTAAGCAAGTCTGTAATCAAGCTATGGATGGAGACTTATGATATTCATTGACAGTCCGTTCTTGATCCCTCCATATAGTACAGATATACATCCGATTCATTGGATGTAAAATATCACCATATCATGATTAGAGTTATTTTCATTTAAGTTTTCAAACTAGTGTAGCTTCCATTTTTAATATTCGGATTTAAATAAAATACCGTCTGATTGTTAGTGTTGGTTAAGAACAGTGTCTAGTTGTTCGGATGGGACAAAAACCGAGGAAGAATCCTTGACAGTTGTAATTCGGCGAAGCGTTGGCGAAAAAATCGCTGTCCGGGAAAAATGTCTTTTATAGCGCATGTCATGGCGTTTGGGTTGTTGACGTAAAGTATCATATTTCTGTATATTTGTTTATCACAGGTGGAACTGCTATAAATATAACATGTGGTGATTGTCGGTCTCCTTCTACTGCTTCAAGTGAGTATATAAAATAAATTCTACGTCGCTTATTTTAAAAACAGATGTTCTAAAAGAGCCCTTCATTTCTACATCCCCCAATCATGGAATAAGATTAAAGGACAATATTGGTGGGAGTCATTATCACATATGTGATAGAACTGGTTAAACACATTCCAAATATAATTTTAACAGAGAGATCACTGCTACGATAGCTGAGTAATACAGGATTCGCGAATCGGAAGTGACGAACGCCAAAGGAAAACACGGGACATACCTCTATATAACTGGCAGAAGTGCCGACTGATAACAGATACATGGGCGAATTTCTGCTCATTAATAATTCCTTCGAAGACCAAAAGTTGTTATATGGGACTGTAAGAGGATATCTGGCAATTCAATACAGTAATTGAATGTCATTAGATAAGAGAACACGAGAAAAATAGAATTAGTCCGTACATTCCCTTGTTTATATTCATTCTATAGGGGAGAGCGGGGCTAGTTCGCACCATTTCTAATGAAACCAACATATCTCGATAACTTTTGAAGCTACGTTACCGTAGACTAGTGATTCCCAACCAGTGTTTCGCGGCACACAGGTGTTCCGTGAGATCTTCCTGTGTGTGCTGTTTAGTTTGAGCCATACTATGTGTCTATGACTAGCCTCGGCTGTATGACAGTAAGTGATATGTACCTACGCCTATACAATTGCGATGCGGCACCGGTTTACTTATGCCCCCGTCAGACCGGGGTGGCGTCCTTACTGCGCCTCTGCGACCGTACGGCGACCAGAAAATGCACAAGGTCGCCGTCAAACGTGAACACAACGCGCAAAAATGTCCCCAAAAACTACAAACTTGAAAAGAAAGTTGTATTCTCATAGTTTTACAGTTTAGATCGCAGGACCTTGGCGTTTGCTTTGAACATGCTCAAAATAAACGCGGTGACTCGGCGATCATTGGCGACCATGGTGACTACAGCACGATAGCTGGCGTTTCCACTACGCTTATGGCGATCTTAACGCGCTCTAAAACTATTTTCCATCGCCGTAGCAGCGAAGTAAGGACGCTACCCCGGTCTGACGGGGTATTATTAGGAAAACTTGCCGCTTTTAGAAAGAAGTCCTCAAAACTGCGTCGTTCGAAGCGTATGTAGACAGCTTCAAATGCGTCGTCATGGGCAACGGCGTTGGTAATCCGGAACTTGAAAGTAGTCCCAATGGCGGACTTCGTCATACAGCCGAGGCTAGATGTAGGGTACTGGAATCTGCTGAGGTTTGTCGAGTGGGCGCGAGATATGAATGAGGTCGGACTAACCCAGCTTTCCCCTACCTTATAAAAACATGGTAATGCACGGACTTTTTTTTCTGTTTTTCTTTCGTGTTCTCTTGTCCACTGGCAGTCAATTTTTTTTATAAATTGTTAGATATCCTCTCACAGTCTTACAAAACAACTTTTAGTCTTCGAAGGAATTATTTGTCATATCAGATTTGTAAAATGTATTTTTGTTTAATGTATTTTAGAAAATCAAAAAATAAAAAATAAATAAAAAAATAATCTACATTTACATTTCATCATAGACATACAGCGAAAAACACATCTCGAACAACAAATTTCCAAATACAAATCTCCAAATACAAATCTTGCCAAACATTTCTCCAAAAACATTTCTCCAAAAACATTTCTTTAAAAACATTTCTCCAAAAACATTTCTCCAAATTCATCGAACCGGAACATTATGACGACACGATCGGAAATCAACCTGGCGTACAATAAGTCACCATACTATAAAGAAGAATCGAGCAAGCATATATACAACAAGAAAAATCGCTCGATGACCGTGACTTTAGTAAAATCACGTGCGTCTTATTGTTCTATATATAAATATATTGGTTAATATGATCTAGCATTAAATAAAACAAATTAAAAGTAGTCTATTTTCAGTATTTATGTTATTTTTTGATAGCGACATATTTCTTTGGACAAACGAAAGAGGACTTTATCTCTTCTAAATCATGTAATCATGAATGTCCCGGTAAAATAGCTAATACTCGTATATTCAAAGAGCGATACCTATAGCATACATATAGCATCTTCTGGTCGTGGAATTAGAATATTTAAACGCAATTTAATTTATTTTAACGCCAATCACACGTCTTGGTGTCCTTTTCAAAACCTTTACACGTTAAAGCCATGTTTAATACAAGACTATAACCTGTTTTGTGCCAGGTTGGCGTCGCGTGTGGTATGTACAGCAATATAATACGTCACTGGCGGACACCCACGTGAGTATTTTAATTGTGTAATCAATCATTGCAGGTACTGATACAAACAGCGAGACCTCATCAACTGAAGGGATTTCAAACATTGTCACATCTCAAATGTCGACTGACACAAATAACAAGACCCCATCAACTGAAGAGACTTCAACATCTACAGGTAAAGATAATCACAATGGGGGTAATGACTAATGTCTGTTCCAGGTGACACGCCGACTCTAAAATTACTCGCCATTTCTTCAATTTTTAATTATAGTGGCTAAAACTTAGTGACATACCTAGAATTGGCACCGCTTTGCCTGGCTTAAAAACAAGGGTTCTCAGTAAGAGAATGGTACAATGCCGAAACTGGATTGTATCGAACTTCTAGGCGTGATTGAAGGCTGGACGGGGAAAGCAAAGGGGTGACAATTCCAGGTATGTTATTAAGTTTTAGCCATTTTAATTAAAAAAAATTGCAGAAATGGCAAGCAATTTTAAACTGTAACAGACACTAACAGTTGTATCTTTACTTCTCGCCATATCATGGCTTATTGGTTTGTGTGTGTTGTATCAGAAGGTATGTATCTATATGTGTTGTATTGTGTCAGGTGGTGTATATTATATCAGGTGGTGTGTATTGTATCAGTTGATGTGTATTGTATCAGTTGATGTGTATTGTATCAGTTGATGTGTATTTTATCACCTGGTGTCTATTGTATCACGTGGTGTGGATTGTATTATGTGTATGTATTGCATCATGTGGTGAGTGCTGTATTGTATCATGTGGTGAGTGTTGTATCAGGTGGTGGTGTGTGGTGTGTATTGTATGTGGTGTGTATTGGTGGTATGTATCCATATTGGTGGTGTGTGTCTATATTGGTGGTGTGTATCCATATTGGTGGTATGTATCCATATTGGTGATGTATCCATATTGGTGGTGTGTATCTATTTTTCTGGTATGTATCTATATTGGTGGCGTGTGTCTATATTTTTGGTATGTATCCATATTGGTGGTGTGTGTCTATATTAGTTGTGTGTATTATAAGGGGGTATATTGGGGATGCGCTCATTCTCGCTGGGGACTTCAGGTGGGTTGAGAAGGGTGTAGACCCGTTGGGGAGTTCAGGTTGGGTGGAGATGAGCTTGTTTGCAGGATAATATTCTATGTGGTTGTCATGTCCATACTCGAAAGAACAGTTAAGTATAAATCTACGCATTCATTGAATTGTTTGCAATAAATTTGATAAAATCATGCCCATATTAGGAATGATTGAATTATTTTTAATATAATAAACTATAAAATGTCCATATTATGTTCGGTTATATTGTTTTGATACAATTCACTATAAATGTAATTACAATTTCCATATTAGTAATGATTAAAATGTTTATAATAACATTTTAAATTAGGTTTGATTTTATTATCTATAATATATTATGTCCGTATAAGGAATTATCAAATTGTTTAAGGTGTATTAAACTACATAATGTCCATTTTAGGTTTGATTAAATTGTGTATAATATTTCAATTTACATAATGTCCATATTAGGTTCGAATAAATTGTGTATAATATTCAAAACTATAAGATATCCATATAAGGAATGGTTAAATTGTATATAATATATTAAACTCATAATGTCAATATACCATATAGTATTCCATGTTATTATACATGGTTACATTGTTAATGATATATTAAACTATTTAATGTCCATTTCTAGATAATGACTAAATTGTTTTCAGGCGAGTATGAGAGTCAAGTTGAATGTAACTAACCTTTTAAAACATTCAGTAAAAAATATCTACTTGATGATAACCTGTTTACATGTATATACATCAATATTGTGTGTCTTCCCGTTATCCATATTTTTTCATACTTCTGAAATCGGTTGGTATCTTTAAAACACAGCGTGAAGTACCCTTGAGAGCTAAATTAAACACTATAGATATAGATATAGATAGATTTCACACTTCATTTGCCTCACTCAGACTATGTAAATATATGTTGATATAAATTTATGCAGATGATGCTGACGTATCATTAAATACTATTTCATTCAATTTTATTTCTTTGCTAAAATATTTGTTTAAAATATCATTATAATATGGGTTAAATATCTCTGATTAGATGTGTCGCCATTTAATACAATTTTATAAAGTGTGTCGTGAGATTTTATTTTTCCATCATCAAAAAAAACAACCAATTAGTTGGTTGGGGAGGACCTTGGGTGGTCTGATATACGATCGGGCCCATTGGCGAGTAGCAGCAGAACAGTAGGACGTTAAACCCTATTCCATTTCATTTCCTTCGGGGGGTTTAAGTTAGTTGCAGAGGAACTTGGGTCGGTTGGGTGGTAGCTTGAGCGGGTTTGGTACTTCAGCTCGGGTTGGGAGAGGGGGTGGTGCATGGGCCCGAAGGGTTGTTCGGGCTGGTTTGGAGGGGAAGGGGGTTTATTGGAGATGCGCTCATTCTCACTGGGGACTTCAGGTGGGTTGAGAAGGTGTGTAGACCCGTTGGGGAGTACAGGTTGGAAGTGAATTTTCTGTTGTGCCTGTCATTTTCTCAAAGGTAACTGTCCGAGCATTCTTATTTTAAGCACTATTTTAAACAACGATACCATTCAAATATGTGATGATAAAGATACCATTTTCAGTGCAGGGAACACAAGTAGACATAGCCATTACTTGACTGGTGAAAGCCGTGGTCTATCTACAAACGTTGTGTACTACCTGTTTCCATTATCTGGTCTATCCACAAACCTTATGTACTACCTGTTTCTATTATCTGGTCTATCTACAAACGTTATGTCCTACATGTTTCCATTATCTGTAAAGTTGAGTTAAATGTTGTTAAAGCAGCAGTTCATTAATTCGTACGCTTGCCAGGAAATGTGCTTCCCGTCCTCACGATTAGTGGACGATTAAATATGTGTTTTAAAGCTGAAGGCGAGACGGATGTTTACGAATATACAGTGCATGTAAGAAAGACTTATTTCAAAATTATTATGTCAACCAATACAAATTTATAATTTTATCGGACAACTAGATCACATGGCGTATCGATGATGTCATTAACAAAAAACAAAAAGAATAGTAATAAGATTTGATTTAACCAGATTCAATAGATGAGGACAATATTCGTGCAACAGTTTCATTGTATAATAAAAGAAATTTCAAAAATAAAAAAAAACCTACCCAGTAGTGAATAGGATACTTCTATTGTTTTCAAAGTTTTTACACAAATGTATCCTCGACTTGAGTCTGAGGCGTGAAGGGCGCATATCAATCTCCACGTGATTCTATAAACTGGAGCATCCAATGTAAGTCTGTAGTAACAAGGCCATTTCTCGGCCCTGGTTACGTTCCGACCTAGTCAAACACCTACTAATAGCTGTAACATTTCGTGCGGTATAGAAAATATCAAAGCGGTTGAAGAAAATGATTAAAGATGCATTACTTAAGATTTGGATTATAAAGAACTTGTCGTTCTCGCTAAAATAGTTCAAAAATAGATAGTGAAAAATGGAAATATTAAAAATGTCAATTTTTTATGAAATGAATGTTGTCTATGATTTTGTTAGTATTTATTACATCCTTTCTCATATGCGATGAAAAAAGTCTAAATTTTCATAAAGCTAAATATCTTGGTCGTTTTGTTTCTGTAGAAAATGTTATGTATTTGCTTATATAATCTTGATGTGGATGATATAACGATATAGATAAATTGGCTTGTAGAATTTGGTGACATCAGAACATTTTACTTTTGATCCCCAGATTAAAAAAAAATGAAATGAAGTGTGGTTTATCGTACTGTTTTTCTGCAACTAGGATAATGAAGACGGACATACGCCGTGTACTGTGTCATGAGGGAGTGACTGTTCGGACAGCAGTGTTGCCGTCTACTCCTTGTCGCATTTCAACTGCCAAGTGTTAACGACAATGCGTTTTTTCACACCATCCATTGGTGATCTACCTACCGTGGATCCCAATGTGGTCCGGATAATTTTACTTCAGCAGTTATCTCTCGATTTTTGAATCCTGCATGGAATGTTTTACTGGCATCCTCTTGATATCTCAGTGTCACCTGACGATTTCAACAGAAAGATTTGATTATTTCTAAAGCGCAAATTACGATGTGCCTCGCTGCTTCTTAAAACGAAATGTTATCCATTGAGGAATAATCAATGTCCGTAATACAACTCGAAGATTATGACTTCTTCCTAAGCTATTTGACCATGTATACCTTTTGACTTCACACTCTTGTTGCCTAAAGAAATTGTTTCGCTCAATCCATTCCCACAAATTCGCTCTTGCGTTTCTGTTAGTATAAACAACTTTATTCAAACAGTAGTTAAATTAACCAAATGCGATCGCCGCGTTCACGGTCGGGTGACATTCGTGCTTAGTTTAAACGAATCTTAAGACAGATACCGCGACCATACAAAGGACCTAAAGCATACATCACTCTTTGGGAAAGTTGGAAAACTTACACAAATACCATGTTTAAAATTGGTGTATTCGGGCGAGTGATGGCTAACAACAATACAATGGACCTAAAGCATACATCACTCTTTGGGAAAGTTGGAAAACGTACAAATACCATGTATTCGGGCGAGTGATAGCTAACAACAATACCGCGTTCACGGTCGGGTGACATTCGTGCTTAGTTTAAACGAATCTTAAGACAGATACCGCGACCATACAAAGGACCTAAAGCATACATCACTCTTTGGGAAAGTTGGAAAACTTACACAAATACCATGTTTAAAATTGGTGTATTCGGGCGAGTGATGGCTAACAACAATACAATGGACCTAAAGCATACATCACTCTTTGGGAAAGTTGGAAAACGTACAAATACCATGTATTCGGGCGAGTGATAGCTAACAACAATACCAGTTTTTGTTTGCATAGTTAAACACAGCTAAACAAATCATGGCCATGTCCTTTTAAACTGATGTTGCACAGAACAATAAACATTTTAACTCATTATAAACATATTTTTTTTTGCAGTTGGCATCACTTCAGCGATGACTAGTCAGAAGAGCCACTGACATGACATCCTTTGCGGTTTTGTGTTTAATAGTACAGCGATTTTAAAAATCTAAACAAATGCAATGGCCTAGGAAATAAATTAAAATTTACAGAGCAGAAGCTGTTAGTTATTGGGTTTTAAGGTTTCGTGTTTAATAGTAGACCGAGATTAAAAATCTAAACAAAAGTAATGGCTTATAAGAAATGGCCTAAAAATGTACAGCACTTACAGAGCAGAATCTGATAGTTACCGGGTATAGACACTAAATGGTGCAGGGGTATTTGTAAAAATAATTCACAATTACCTGGATTACTATAATATTATTATGTATACATTACAGGTGTTATGCTGGCCAGAATAAAGAGATTAGCGCTATTTTAAATGTTACTGAGATAAGTAATCATTCAACAGATATAGGAAAGCAAAACTCACTCGAAAACAAGTGGCAAGTATAGTATAGATTAAAGTTATTCAGTTATTCCCACGACGGCGCAGTTACAGAGCGTGACCAAAATCAATCCTTCCCACGAAGGCGCGGATATCAACTTGTCGGCTTTCGTTTGAAGAGAGACGTGTTGTTATGAGGAACTACTTAACGGTGTTTAAAGATTTCAAGAATGTCAAAGCAAGAATGTACGTCCCTTTTCATTGCAGAGTGATATCTGATATATCGTCACAACGGGGGGGTTATGTCTCATAACATGTAAGGAGATGAAATAAAATATCATCCCTTAGACCCTAATTCAGTAATACACACCACTGTAACCAAACCTCTACAACCCTTATGACTTTAAATACAAATATTTCTTTTTGTCAGTGTAGCTATAAAGCAGTTGGCGCCATCGAGAAAAACACACAAAATAAGATTTTAAAGATGATACAATACTTGAAAAATATCTTAGGATAGCCGTCGCGAGACAGTGTATGACTTCTATTTCTAGGAGGTCTAATATGGTTACACATATCTAGTAAACTGTTATTGTACGTTGTATGTCACAATAATTAAATACATCTTACTAAACATCCAGCACTGTGATCTGATCAATATATCTAATAAAACGCGATTTCACTTTATACAAATAAGATATTTGGGGTCTTACAGTCCGTTTATTATAAAACAAATATGTAGTTATTATGTTGATGCTGTGTTTGGACAGGAATCTTAAAAAATAAAGCATTTCATTTTTTTTGTTTCTTTTTTTTCATTCGTCACTTTTCTTGTACAAAACGGACTAATGTAGATGGTCATTATCCATCGCTCATCTCTTATATTGATTTTACTACATTCCATCGATAAATTACGAACTAAATGAAGATGGGCATGAGTCAGCTCCTTACCCACTTTAATTGAAATTGTACCCCTCAGATATAGCTTTCATGGTCCAATGATATTTCACAATAGATGCAGGGCTGGCTAACAGTGATATTGTATGCATAGTATCTACACTGTTTAGGCCTCGAATGATAATTGGGGTATGTAATGTATCCAAATATCACGTGACTACCAACCTCTTACTTTTCGAACCTTCACTGGTTGATATGCAGCTGGTAATACCAAATATTAACTAGTGTACTGTTTATTGACTTTGGCGTTAAATATTAAATAGTAAAGAATGTGCTGACTTCGCGTCGAATGTGGTGTGCTGATTAAACGTTGAATATTGAGTAAAATGATTTCGCGTTGAATATTAACTAGTATATGGTGTTGTTAACATTGAATATTAACCAGTATGGTGTGCTGATTTCACGTTGAATGTTACCTAATACCAGGTTGAACAAGAAAAAAGTGTACCTGACAAAATATTACCCCGTGTGATATTATACAGTGTTCTGACAGATTCGGAGACAAAAAAATAAATTGTGTAAAAAACTGTTTAGGAAGAAATGTTAACAGACCAGTGTGTGTATTGTAAACATGTATAATATGATCAAGTATTTATTACTTCTAACAACAGGTAATATTTTGGATTTGCCATACGTTCACGTTTACAGAAGGTCATCGCCCTCCCATAGCACGCAAACAAGTAGGGGGTTTGGATGGCCGAAATGTTAGCACGTGTACGCTGCGCTGTATCATACGGTCTGTCATTGAGTCAACTGACGGGTTTTCGATTCCCCGGTTGTACGTGACAACGAGTAGGGTCGCCTGTCCAACCTCGTGGGTTTTCTCCGGGTCCTCCGGTTTCCTCCCACTGCTAAAGACCCCTACGGGCAAGTGAATTATTGAAATAAAATTGAACCATGTGTTAGTCCTGAAATGAGCTAGTTTGTGTCGAGTGGACGTTAAACCCCATTTCTCTCTTTATCTGTCACGTAAACAAGTTTTCGTGAACAAGTTAAAGTTACTAACACGGGAATGAAAATTATTCAATGGCTTATCGGCCTACTAGACTCAATATGGGGTATATTATATCGCCACGTGACTTCTTTGTTCATGTTTCTTAATGGGGTATATTATATCTTAATGTTGTTTCAATGTCACTATCTTATAATATACCATTTTACGCCAGTCTTCCAGAAATCGGTTGAAATTCTTAAAGGAAATGTTGAAGTGGGTTGAATTAAAACTACATATTATTTATCGCTATTAAAATAACCATATCCTTTTACAGCAATAATATAACCATATTTGTTTGTATTCCAGCAGTGTTTGTTATTGTCGATTGTCGTTTCACGTCTTATGGTTGTTATAGACAACCAGAATCAGCATGTTCGCGTCATACCTTTGCTTGTCCAGATGGTAACGGAATAATAGTACTTAACTATCTTGATGGCATTGCATATGGCAGAAAAAATCCCGGATATGAATGCCCCCAAGATGAGATGGACATATGTAATGCGACATGTTGTAGATATCAAGGTACTAATGAAGATCAACCTGGTTTTACATCTGTTAACCAAACCGATCGTTTATCAGTTTATAGAAACTGTTCAAATCAACCAACTTGTACCGTTACATCTCCTTACAGTCCTGATACTGATTATGATTATATAAGTTATCCATATTTCTGTGTTTCAGGTAAGTCCCCTATATATTGCCATACATTACACGGTCCTGATACTGTTCTTTTTAATACTATCGTACATTTAACAGTAATTGTATTTAATAATAATGACTTTATTTAAGAGGAGTTGATGTTTAGGTTATAATAGCCATTCTAACATCCTGCCCTTCATAGCAAATATAATACAAAATATATAGACTGATAAATTAAATAACACGCCACAATAGAGAGGGACAAATATACAAAACCAGCTAGCTAGAGAGATTACAAAATCAGCTAAAAAGATTAAATACAGTATATTCGAGTTTATAAAACAGAAAGCTTGAATACATATAGATAAAACATGTATTAACAAATATAAAATATGTACATGCTCATAATACGGAGACACACAGAAAACATATAATAAGAAATATGGGGGGAGTGGGTAATATATTTGTTTAAGATAATATATTTGGAGTAGATTTAAGGTAAAGAAAAAATTTTTTCCTGAAACGATTCAAGTTATTTAAAGTTTTTAAAGACGGCGGCAACGAATTCCATAGTTTGAGCCCTTTAAAGCGTATACTGCTTTTAATTATATTAAATATATTTGGCTTGAGAATAGTAAGTTTATTGTTAAGATGATTGTCAGGAGTTTGATAAGATAATAGGTCAAGTAAGTAATTAGGGCATTGTTTTAACAGAATTGTATAGATAAATAAACAAAGTGGTCTAGAGATTTAGCGTTACAGCGGTCCCATATTGAGGAACAATTATCAATATTTGATTGAAAATGGACATTATAGAAAAGGATTCGAAATGGAGCTGGAAGATATTTTTTTTTTGTTTTAACGGACTTGAAATAATTTCTGGCTTACGTTTTTAGAAATATATTCGATATGATCTTTCCAAGTCATATTATGATTGTGAAAAACACCCAATATTTTTACAGAGGAGTCAACTTCTAATGGTTTATTGCGTAATTAAAATTTTTATAGTAGAAGGGGGGGGGGCTGGATGGATAAATGGTTTATCATAAAGTCTGTCATTGAGTTAACTGGCGTGGTTTCGATTCCCCAGTTGTACGTGGCAAGACAAGGAGTAGCGTCGCATGTCCAACCCCGTGGGTTTTCTCCGGGTCTTCCGGTTTCCTCCCGCTGCTAAAGACCCCCAAGGAGAGGGGTGGGGGTATTTCGTTTTTGTTGCGTCGTGATTAATATAGTTTTTGTTTTCGATATATTTAATCTCATATTGTTTTTATCACACCAGGCTAATACTATATTGGCATCAATTTGAAATTCATGTTCTAGTTATTTGACAGTAGGCCCAGAGGTGTATACTGTTGTGTCAGTTTTAGAGGATAGGTATAGCGGCAAATCATTTTGAAAAATATTAAACAATATGGGTCCCAATATCCGACAGACTTTAGTAATGATGATCGAGTCCAAGCCGAAAATTCAATCGCTAAAATCTCGGTTCAGGATGGATGAATTTGACTTAAATTTGCAGCAAATTGCCTTTACTTTATATATTTGTTAACTATTATAGTGAGAACTGCCAGCTCTTTATTTAATCCCACATATGTATCATTAAGTAAATATGGAATAACTTAATGTTGACATGAACAAATAAATATAAACATATGCATTTGTTTTTGTTATAGCACCTACTATTACGTTACGTTAATTTTAAATAAATACAAATATATGCGATTTGGTGTGTGAAACACATTCGTTAATTTTAATAGTTGACATGAAAATATAAACATATGCAATTTAAAATAATTACAAGCATATGCAATTTGGTGTATTAAAACAGATTCGTTAATTTTAGTTTATTTCGGGCACATATTTCAATACTTCGCATGCACGTCTTTACTTTAGGAAACTGTAGGCCGTGTCTATTCATTTACATGGTAATAAACGAAATATTACTTCGTTTAAACGAAATATTTATTCGTTTAAATAAAATATTAATTTGTTATAACGGAATAATCAAATAAACGAAATAATAAATTCGTTTAAACGAAATATTATATATTTTTATATAAATATTGTTTCGTTAATACGAACTATTATTTCGTTAATACGAACTATTATTTCGTTAATACGAACTATTATTTCGTTAATACGAACTTTTATTTCGTTAATACGAATTAATATTTCGTTCAAACGAATTAATATTTCGTTAATACGAATTAATATTTCGTTGAATTAATATTTCGTTGAAACGAATTAATATTTCGTTGAAACGAATTAATATTTCGTTGAAACGAATTAATATTTCGTTGAAACGAATTAATATTTCGTTGAAACGAATTAATATTTCGTTGAAACGAATTAATATTTCGTTGAAACGAATTAATATTTCTTTGAAACGAATTAATATTTCTTTGAAACGAATTAATATTTCTTTGAAACGAATTAATATTTCTTTGAAACGAATTAATATTTCTTTGAAACGAATTAATATTTCGTTGAAACGAATTAATATTTCGTTGAAACGAATTAATATTTCGTTGAAACGAATTAATATTTCGTTGAAACGAATTAATATTTCGTTTAAACGAATTAATATTTCGTTGAAACGAATTAATATTTCGTTGAAACGAATTAATATTTCGTTGAAACGAATTAATATTTCTTTGAAACGAATTAATATTTCTTTGAAACGAATTCATATTTCGTTGAAACGAATTAATATTTCGTTGAAACGAATTAATATTTCAATACTGTAGGCCGTGTCTATTCATTTACATGGTAATAAAGGAAATATTAATTCGTTTAAACGAAATATTTATTCGTTTAAATAAAATGTTAATTTGTTATAACGGAATAATCAAATGAACGAAATAATAAATTCGTTTAAACGAAATATTATATATTTTTATATAAATATTGTTTCGTTAATACGAACTATTATTTCGTTAATACGAACTATTATTTCGTTAATACGAACTTTTATTTCGTTAATACGAACTATTATTTCGTTAATACGAACTATTATTTCGTTAATACGAACTTTTATTTCGTTAATACGAACTTTTATTTCGTTAATATGAATTAATATTTCGTTGAAACGAACTTTTATTTCGTTAATATGAATTAATATTTCGTTGAAACGAATTAATATGTCGTTGAAACGAATTAATATGTCGTTGAAACGAATTAATATGTCGTTGAAACGAATTAATATGTCGTTGAAACGAATTAATATTTCGTTGAAACGAATTAATATTTCGTTGAAACGAATTAATATTTCGTTGAAACGAATTAATATTTCGTTGAAACGAATTAATATTTCGTTGAAACGAATTAATATTTCGTTGAAATGAATTAATATTTCGTTGAAACGAATTAATATTTCGTTGAAACGAATTAATATTTCGTTGAAACGAATTAATATTTCGTTGAAACGAATTAATATTTCGTTGAAACGAATTAATATTTCGTTGAAACGAATTAATATTTCGTTGAAACGAATTAATATTTCGTTGAAACGAATTAATATTTCGTTGAAACGAATTAATATTTCGTTGAAACGAATTAATATTTCTTTGAAACGAATTAATATTTCGTTGAAACGAATTAATATTTCTTTGAAACGAATTAATATTTCTTTGAAACGAATTAATATTTCTTTGAAACGAATTAATATTTCGTTGAAACGAATTAATATTTCGTTGAAACGAATTAATATTTCGTTGAAACGAATTAATATTTCGTTGAAACGAATTAATATTTCGTTGAAACGAATTAATATTTCGTTGAAACGAATTAATATTTCGTTGAAACGAATTAATATTTCGTTGAAACGAATTAATATTTCGTTGAAACGAATTAATATTTCGTTGAAACGAATTAATATTTCGTTGAAACGAATTAATATTTCGTTGAAACGAATTAATATTTCGTTGAAACGAATTAATATTTCGTTGAAACGAATTAATATTTCGTTGAAACGAATTAATATTTCAATACTTCGCATGCACGTCTTTACTTTTGGAAACTGTAGGCCGTGTCTATTCATTTACATGGTAATAAAGGAAATATTAATTCGTTTAAACGAAATATTTATTCGTTTAAATAAAATGTTAATTTGTTATAACGGAATAATCAAATAAACGAAATAATAAATTCGTTTAAACGAAATATTATATATTTTTATATAAATATTGTTTCGTTAATACGAACTATTATTTCGTTAATACGAACTATTATTTCGTTAATACGAACTATTATTTCGTTAATACGAACTATTATTTCGTTAATACGAACTATTATTTCGTTCATACGAACTTTTATTTCGTTAATACGAACTTTTATTTCGTTAATATGAATTAATATTTCGTTGAAACGAATTAATATTTCGTTGAAACGAATTAATATTTCTTTGAAACGAATTAATATGTCTTTGAAACGAATTAATATGTCGTTGAAACGAATTAATATGTCGTTAAAACGAATTAATATGTCGTTGAAACGAATTAATATTTCGTTGAAACTAATTAATATTTCGTTGAAACGAAATAATATTTCGTTGAAACGAATTAATATTTCGTTGAAACGAATTAGTATTTCGTTGAAACGAATTAATATTTCGTTGAAACGAATTAATATTTCGTTGAAACGAAATAATATTTCGTTGAAACGAAATAATATTTTGTTGAATCATACAAAAATATTATATAAGAGTGGAATCGTGCACTTAAGGGGCTCTGTGTGTCACCACCCGAATCACTGGGATACCTTGCTTCTCAACAATACTCTTACCTCCATTTTGATTCGATTGGTTTATTTGTTTTAATATTACAGATAATATTGTGTACAATATGATGGAGATCACCGATGTGAGATTTTCATCAATCAGTTATTTGTATTACTCTGGTAAAACACAAACTACAGGTACAACAATTACTAGATGTTGTAATATAACAAGTCCTGAAACAATATTCATCTCAAGTGTCTACATTTATCTAACAGAAGAATCAAGTTACAACGTGAAGATTTATTCAGAGAACCAGACTTTAATCCGTAGTGTGGATGGAGTTAGTCATTTCTATGGTTATAGAGGCGTGTCAATTTCTGGAGACAAGATTTATCATTTGGTACTTGACAACTTAACTGCTGATGAAGATGATTATATCTGGATACAATTGATAGGTGAGAATAGAATAAATCAAATACAAAACGGGTTATAAGAATATAAGTAAATACAAGTAATTGAAGACAGACACTGAAATACTAATTTAACGGCTAGCACTTTCTGTTCGTACTGAGCATCTTCAGGTCATTTTTATTTACAAAAATTACGTAGAACAATAGGCGCAATGTCATGACTTTACTATAAATATATCAAATACAACATAATAATAACATATTTCTACATTTAGTAAATAATCAATAAAAAGAGAATTATTTCATCTCTTACTATAAAATTCAATTTGTACAAGGGAAATACGTTGAATTTTCCACCTCCACACGTTTCGATGTGTGCACTTAAAGATATTGTTCGATTACTTGGAATCTTAATTTGTGATCTATGAAGATTCATTTGAAGGTTTAGTTGACCTTCTGTTTTACCAATGTATTTCCCTTTACAACCATAACACACAATGAGATAAATTACATTTTTGGATTTGCATGTAATGCTCTATTCCACGTGAAAATCATTGGATTTATTTATTTTAATGGAGCTGCCTTCGACTATCACATTACAAGTTAAACATCTTTCATGCCCACATTTGGAAACAATAGTTTTTTTATTTTCTGAATCAAATTTTGAGGATGTGAGAATTCGTCGCAAGTTCGAAGGTTTTTTTAGACTGTTGATCACATTTGTTTTGTTCATAATATATTTTTAAGTTTTTCACTTTTAAATAACTGTGGTACATGGGATCGAATTATGTCCATTCACCGTCCTTTGGAAGAATTACGTGTTGTAACTAAAGTCAAAATTTCATTTTGTTTACCTAAAACTTTAGGTTTTCTTAAAACATCCTGATCTATTTTCAAAGCTTGTTTAATATCATTTTCTATTAAACCATAGTTTTGATTTCGAAGGAATTATTTCAATTGTTGTAATCTTATGAGTTTTTTCTTATCATGCGATCACATGATAAGATTCTAAAATTTCTTTTTTTTTCTTTTTTTTTAATAAATATAACTGCTAAAGACATTTATAACCAAATGGTATTAGCTAAATACGAAAAAGCAAAATCAATTACTAAATGGGAGGAAGAACTAAATATACACCAGTTTGAAGAAAATGATATAAAAATGATGTTCAAATTAGCTCACCATGTAAATATTAACTCTAAATTACAGAACTGCCAATATAAGTACATCCATAGAATAATTTACACAAATAAATTACTTTGTAAATTAAGACTGACGGAATCAACTCTGTGTTCTTTCTGTCTTTCAGATATTGAAACTGTAAATCATTTGTTTATACACTGTAGTTACACGCAACGAATATGGAACGAAATGTATGAAATTCTTACAAAAGCAAATATAAACGTAAATATAACACAAAAGGAAATTCACCTTGGTTGCCTAGATTAATCAGTTTTTGACAATATTAACAAATGGACTTTTGTAAATCAAATAATATTTTTAACTAAGTATTACATATATAAATCAAAAATAGAAGCAAATATTCCTACCCGCGAAAGATACAGAGCATTTTTACAAAGTAAAAAATCCTTAGAACTGGAAATTTTTAAAACTAATAAGAAGATAATTGCCCTTTTTACCGCATACCCAAATAAAACAGAAATAAACAAAAATTATTGTTATTAAATTATATGAACAACACGGTAGCTAAACGTACTTAAGTCCTTTCAACTTTCGACTTTCATTTCGTGGAAAGGATCTGTACTTTAATCTACCGCTTAACAGCTTAAAATTTTCCCTTAAAATGTAAAGACACTGGTCTCCTTAAAGGGAGATAACACATCTTGGGGGAAACCAAGCTAAATATAATTACAAATAATAAAACAGTACCCTTTGAGACTAATAGAAGTAACGTATTCCCTGCACACAATACTAAAGATAAACATCTACTGGCAATAATAAATGAATGTTAAATAAATGATTTTGAAATTGTATGATATAATTATATGTACAGATGATGTAATGATAAACCCTTTAATGTAATAATACTGTATGATGTACCTGTTATCTGTTATGTAATATTTTTTGAATAAATGATAATAATATGTCTAAAAAAAAAAAAAAAAAAAAAAAAAAAAAAAAAAAAGATTCTAAAATTTCTGCCAGCAAGATTAAACGGGATGTTTTTTGTATGAGAAGGGTGACATGAACTGAAATCATCTAAATACTGGTGCGTGTCAGTAGTATTATAACATAGATCAGTTGTAATGTCACCATATTCAGATAATATTATTGTTACATCTAAAAAGTTAATTGATGTACAGTTTTATTTTCTATTATAAAATTTAAACTTTCATTTAGTGAGTTTAGCATGAGATATAATTCATTTAATAAAACTTTATCATTAATAAATATGATAAAACAATCATCTAAGAAACGTTTCCATGAATGTTCAATCTGTAACTTTAAGTCCGAACCGAAACGTTCTCCAATATTGGCGTACCAAGTTTCTTCAAGTTAGCCTAGCGTTAAAGTCGCGTAAGTCGGGCCCATTTTTGTTCCCATTGCCACGCCTTTAATTTGTTCATAGTAGTGTCCATCAAAGTAGAAAATATTATTAGAGATGACTATCGTGCTTACTAAGTCATGACGTCAACTGTCAGACTATCGCCATTGAGGAGACGACCACTGTCAAGATTGGTCGCAATATTTCTGTTACGTCTTTTTTATATTTCTGATTGATTTCAAATTTGAGTGAGTCTGTGTCACTACAGGCCCGGGACTGTACAGCGCAGTGGACGCTTACGGCTGACCCCGGATCCATTCACTTGATTTGATATTTGTTTATTTGGTGCAATGTCTATTTTCTGTCTTGTCCGCAGGTTTATCTTGTAGATTTTTGTTTTACGTGTAGTGCGGTCCTCCTGCACTTACTATTACAAGTTTGATAATTCTAATTTGAAATTTAGTGTTAAATAGAAAAAATAAAGGTTAAAAATGCTTAAATAAAATACTATTATTAAATTGTCTACATGTTTCGCCTGACGTGACTTCATGGAAGAATAAACATACAATAATTATTTTGAAATGTTTAATTTGGGTTTAAATTTGTCAATTCATGGGATCTTCTTTAAATTTGGTTCTCTGATATGTTGTCTATGAACCGTTACTTTGTTTTGTAACCTGTTAGCGCAACCGATGTACAGCACAGCCACTACATTTTATGACATATATTACATGAGTTACTTAAACTAAACATACATTATGCAAGAGCTAAATCTGTCTATTACAGGTCTTTCTTACCTATCCAGACCATAATCAACTCTAGATGGCATTGCAGGCCTGCGATCTTTAGTGGATTATGAGCCGATTTACTGCATAAATTTTCTTCTCGATTTAACGTTTAAATGAATAATCGAAACTATGATGTTTATCGTACTGACTTTAATAATGATGATCGAGGCTAGGCGGAAATTCCAATCGCTTAGTTCTCGGTGCATAGTGGATCAATTTGAATGAAATTTTCAGCCAATTGCCTTTTCATTATCTAGTTTTTATACGCCCACATTTTCATGTGGACGTATTATGCCATCGCCCCTGTGAACTCTCTACAGGTCACAATTCTTATCTGATTTTGACGAAACTTAAAATATAGGTTTATCCCCAAAAGATCTCGACTGCTTTCGATATTGGCATGAATCGGATCGAAAATACATGGATTATGGCCCCTGATTGTACGAAATATCACCTTTTTAGCTTGTGGACCCTATAGAGGTCACAATTTTTATCCGATCTTGTTAAAACTTTAAATGTAATATTATAACCCTAAGATCTCGGTTCCTTTCGATATTCGCGCATATCGGACCGTAACTTCCTGAATTATGGCCCCTGATTGTACGAAAATCGCGTTTTTAGCTTGTGGATCCTATAGAAGTAATATTTTTTATCCGATTTTAAAAACCGTATTATTATATCACCGTTACACCCTAAAGACGGCTGAGTTCGAATTTCGTGAAAATCGGCCCAAAACTGACAGACAAAATGGCCGCCCTTTCGTTCTCAAATATCGTAAAAATATGGTATATCAAGGTTGTGGACCCTATAGAGGTCACAATTTTTATCCAATATTGTTGAAACTTGAAACGTAAGTTTATAACCAAAAGATCTCGGTTCCGTTCGATATTTGTGCATATCGGACCGTAAATTCCTGAATTATATCCCCTGATTGTACGAAAAATCGTGTTTTTAGCTTGTGGACCCTATAGAGGTCATAATTTTTATCCGATTTGAAAAATCGCATTATTATGTCACCGGTACACCCTAAGGACGGCTGAGTTCGAATTTCATGAAAATCGGCCCAAAACTGACAGACAAAATGGCCGCCTTCGTTCTCAAATAGCGTAAAAATATGGTATATCAAGGTTGTGGACCCTATAGAGGTCACAATTTGTATCCGATTTTGTTGAAACTTGAAATGTAAATTTATAATTCAAAGATCTCGGTTCCTTTCGATATTCGCGCGTATCGGACTGTAACTTCCTGAATTATGCCCCCTGATTGTACGGAAAATCGCGTTTTGAGGTTTGTGGACCCTATAGAGGTCATAATTTTTATCCGATTTAAAAAACGTATGATTATATCACCGTTACACCCTAAGGATGGCCCAGTTAGAATGTCGTGAAAATCGGTCCAAAACTGACAGACAAAATGGCCGCCCTTCGTTCTCAAATAGCGTATATCAAGGTTGTGGACCCTATAGAGGTCACAATTTTAATCCTTTTTTGATGAAACATGAAATGTAAGTTTATACCCCAAAGATTTCAGTTCCTTTCGATATTCGCGCATATCAGACCGTAACTTCCTGAATTTTTGCCCCTGATTGTACGAAAAATCACGTTTTTTGGCTTGTGGGCCCTATAGAGGTCATAACTTTTATCCGATTTAAAAAAAACTTTTTAGAATATCACCGTTACACCCTAAGGACGGCTGAGTTAGAATTTCGTGAAAATCGGCCCAAAACTGACAGACAAAATGGCCGCCCTTCGTTCTCAAATAGCGTAAAATAATGGTATATCAAGGTTGTGGACCCTATAGAGGTCACAAGTTTTATCCGATTTTGTTTGAACTTGAAATGTAACTTTATAACCCAAAGATCTCGGTTCCTTTCGATATTCGCGCATATCGGACTGTAACTTCCTGAATTATGGCCCATGATGGCATGAAAAATCACCTTTTTAGCTTGTGGACCCTATAGAGGACATAATTTTTATCCAATTTAAAAAACCGTATTATTATATCACCGTTACACCCTAAGGATGACTGAGTTCGAATTTCGTGACAATCGACCCAAAACTGACAGACAAAATGGCCGCCCCCCGTTCTCAAAAAGCGTAAAATAATGGTATATCAAGGTTGTGGACCCTATAGAGGTCACAATGTTTATCCTATTTTGTTGAAACTTGAAATGTAAGTTTATAACCCACAGATCTGGGTTCCTTTCGATATTCGCTCATATCGGACCGTAACTTTCTGAATTATGGCCCCTGATTGTACGAAAAATCGCGTTTTTAGTTTGTGGACCCTATAGAGGTCATAACTTTTATCCTATTTAAAAAACGTATTATTATATCACCGTTACACCCTAAGGATGGCTGAGTTCGAATTTCATGTAAATCGGCCCCAAATTGACAGACAAAATGGCCGCTATTCGTTCTCAAATAGCGTAATAATATGGTATATCACGGTTGTGGATACTATAGAGGTCACAATTTTTATCCGATTTTGTTGAAACTTATAAAATGTAAGTTTATAACACAAAGATCTCGGTTCCTTTCGATATTTGCACATATCGAATTGTAATTTCCTGAATTAAGGCCTTTGATTGTAGGAAAAATCACTTTCTTTTTTAGCTTGTTCTCTATCCATCTCTCGAAAATGTGGGCGTATCCTACCTGGCAGCCGCTGGTTAACTATTATAGTGAGAACTGCCAACTCGTTACTGAATCTCCCATAATGTATTTTTAACAGTTCATACTTTATTGACAAAAAAATCTTTTCCACTGTCAAATATAAATGATTTACCTTAAATTAAATATCTACACGTGCCGCAATTATCCCATGCACATTTTACAACTTCCTTAATTGGACTGATGGACGACTTCCCTTTCCGAAGTAGGGTGAACAGTTTCCGACTGTTTTCAATGTGTATTATACCACATAATCTGTATATCCATATTGTATTACTGATTCAAATATTATATCATATAATATGTATATCTTATATTACAGGAACTCGACCTACTCCTTCGGGTGAGTATAAAAGTATGTTATTGTAGAAGTAATGGGTACTGGGGGAAATGATTGAATTTTCAACATCAGAAACTATGAATGAAAGGAATACAAATATGCTCCCATCTCCAATGACAACAGATTAAAATATTATACCATATAATCGGCATATCTTACATTACAGGTTCTTACACGCGTAATGTAAATATAACCTGCGATGATTGTATTGGTTTTACTGCTTCTGGTGAGTATAAATATATTTATACTGTAGAGGTAATGGGATCTCGGGGAAATGATTGAATTTACAACGTCATAAACTATAACATGGTCCCACCTCCAATGACTACCACGCATAGGCCTACGGACAAGGGGGAGGCGGTGAGGGCAGCTACCCCCTAACTTTTGGGCAATCTGAAATTTCGGGCAGACGGGTAATGTATAAACGAAATATGATATAATCTAGTTTGCAGAATAAAGTGCCCAAACATCGAATTGATACTGTATTGACTATTGATTAAAATATTTATCTGGAAACTCTGGAACCATTCTGCTTTGCAAAATAAAGTGCCCGAAACCTAATACATCACTAATCTAACTTCTCATGTAAATGAATATGCGCATTTGTTCTGAATTGGCATTTGGATTAAAGCATTTGTTTAGAACCACACTGCTTTGGGCAACATTCATTATTTTTTGTTAATGCTGTTCCAACAGACTGGAATTCTGGTCGGCATAGAGTGAGATTATGGTTGGAAAACCCTTGGACAACTTTGAAGTTGCTTTACTAACGAGCTAGAACTGCAGAAAAACGCATCTTCTGAGGTTAAATTTTTAAAATTGACTCGTGGGTTCGGGGGGGGGGGTTGTTTCCCATACCCCGCGACGACCGGCGAAGGGCCCGTTGACTAAACGATTGATTGGTTGTTGGCATTCAGCTCAGCCATACTGGACAACATTGAAGTTGTATCCAATGGCCGTCACCCTAAATACACGTACCTGTAGCATATCCTTCCCGTGGAATTATAATATATATTTCATTTTATTACCGATCAAGCGTCCTACTTAAAGGCATGTTTCTGACCAGACCAGAACCTTTCATTCTGTGACCGGATATATCAATTATTGCAGGTACTGATACCAATAGCAAGAACACATCAACTGAAGAGACTTCAAATCTGGTCATTTCTACGGATACATCTCAAATTTCTACGGATACAAACAGCAGGAACTCGTTAAATGAGGTGACTTCAATATCTAAAGGTAAAGATAATAAAGAGTTACACTGTTTGGCAATTAATTGGCCTCAGTCCGATGGCTGTTACTGTTCGATATAAACTAGACCTTCATAAAAAGCTTAACCTGATTTTGTACTGACACGTGATGGAAATGTGGAATTAGGCTGCAGGACATACCCCTCCCCACCCCACCCCACAAAATAACTAGGTCAATAATATACAATAGACTTAGCGGTTGGTAAGCTATTCCTTCGCTTAAAATTTGCCTTTAGAACCCTTGGGTATGTTATACTTGATTTTAGGCTGACACGATGATCAAACTAATTGTCCATTTAGTGCAACGTCCTACTTAAGGCCATGTTCATGACCAGGCCAGATCCTTTCATTCTATGATCATGACCGGATTATCACCCATTGCAGGTACCGATACAATTAGCAAGACCTCATCAAATGAAGCGACTCCAAACATGGTCACATCTCAAATGTCCACTGATATAAACAGCAAGAACCCGCCGTCAAATGAGGTGACTTCAAACATGGTCACATCTCAAATGTCTACTGATACCAACAGCAAGACCTCATCTACAGGTAACCATAATAACGAGGGTGTTCCAGGTGACACATTGACTTGGCAATTGCTTGCCATTTCTTCAATTTTTAATGAAAATGGCTAAACCTTAGTGACATCCCAGGAACTGTCACCCGTTTGCTTTCTACTCCATGGGAACTAATTTTAGATTAATTCATATAACCCTTCTCTCTTGAACAAACTTGTTTTTTTTACATGACGGTACTGAAAATCAGCCATGTTTGACCTAATTATCTGGAACAGACAGGGGTCACATTTGTTTTCAGGTTTTTTTTCGCCAAAATGGATAATAATTTTTATACTGAAAAAATGTTCATATTTTTTTTCCGCCAAATGGAATATTTTACCCCAAACATCCCAATAGGACCATGGGTGTTTGTATGGCTTAGTGACGCTTCGTCATCCTTGGATGTTTAGGTAGTTGTTTGGGCAGAATAGAATATTACTGTTTTGAAAGAGCTGTTTACGGCATCATTGACAGCAGTTGCTTGTCCCACTGACACGAATTGATTGGCCTCGGACCGAGGGCTGTAACTTTTATATGATTTATAATTCATTAGAGCCACGGTGACTCAGTGAGTAATACGCTGGCTCGCTAGCCTGGAGATCGCGGGATCATTGGGATTTTCCGGCGTGGTTTCCACTTGTCAGTGGTACAGCGTTGATGGACTGACAAGGACAGCTGTTTACTCGTTCGGATAGGACGAAAAACCGAAGTCCCGTGTACACATTGGCGTGCACGTACAATATCCCTTGGCAGTTGGAATTTGATATAAGAATAGGCTGTAGTGCCGCAGTCCGGGCAAACTTTTCCTCATAGCACACTGTCGTAGCAGAACAGTAGGACGTTAAACCCCATTCCATTCCATTTCATTCTGTATTTCCCGAAATAACTAAATAATTGGTTGATATATTCCTTGACTAATCGGTTTTTTTTCATCTTGAAATCGTAGCTAACACTAATCAATTATTCAAGGTGTCTTTTTTTTTAGATTGACTGTTTTTCTACTACAATATCTGCAGCAAATCGTGTATATCTAAGAAAGGAATACTTAGTATGCGAAACTATTGTAAAATTATAAGAAATTGTATCAAATTTACACTTTATCCCAAAGTTTAGCATGCTGAAAACAAGTGTTCTTTGAGGAACTTTTCGGTAGCAATTCAAAACTATAAATATATCTATGGTCCACTGAACTGTGGGGAATCTTAAAATTACATAATATATTACATAATTACATAATAATATTTATTTTGCAAGAAAATGTTATGTATGCATTTCCGCGCGCGTTTCTACCTGCGAAAATTTTGGTACAATGCAAATGTAATGGGACCGTTTCCATGTCCGAGAAACGCGCGAGAAAAAAAAACGTTGCTCGATGTGCGACTTTTCCGCTGGCGTCATTTCTTTTGCGTAAAATTAACACGCAGATGTTTACATTCTGGCTTAAAAACACGGGGTTTCCCCCACTAAGTCAATTAACCGCTTATGTTTCTGCAAATTTATCTAGCTTGGACAAGATGCTATTATGTTGAAGGTCAATAATGTCGGGCTCCATGCTGTAAAGTCATTTCAGCAGTTTGTCTATACACATGAGAATACACGAACGCGTACATGGAAAGTGGGCCTTAAAACAGCGCAGAAAATAATCGAAAACTAGATCTGAAATGCAGTTATGGCGCGTTTCTCCAACTGGCGCCATTTGTACTCTATAACTTTCATCAAATTGAACGATCATTTAGGTGCTTAGAACTTTATGACATCAGCTGGTTTTTGATAATGTATGATATTGACGTTTCAACTCTGTATAAACTCCTGTTAAGACACGGACTGGCGATGATCTAATTAAATATGTAATTAATCCCATATGCCATTTGCAAACTACATAATATGATCTCTGTACAAGCTCCACATGACTTCAAAGCAATATGCACTGGTCATACCATGACGTGATAAAGAGACAATTGCATGTATAATCATGAATCTTGTCTATTCCACGGCGCTTTATAATCAGGGGTTTACTGGCAGTTAGATAGACGAGTGACGAGGAGGAGAGACGCAGACGAGAGAAAAGCAGAGACTGGCGACCATTTTCAGCTTATTTTCATGATACAAGAATGACTGCGTATTCACTTTCAGTGCAAATGAACCCATTTGACTAGGATTTAATATAGTTATGTACCGTCCTGGTGTGTTCCTGTCGTAGTCTAATTTCTGTATATTAGTTTAAGTTCCTGTATTGTTTTGTATGTAACATTACGGATACTGTAACACTATCTTAGTGATAACAGATGTCATTTTAGTAAATATATGATTTATTTACATCGTAACATAATATAACACATCGTTCAGATACTGGATTGAATATTTTATTTCTGTGACCTGATATATCAATCATTGCAGGTACTGATACAAACAACAAGAACTCGTCAAATGAAGAGACTTCTACAGATAAATATAAAGATAATAACAATGGTGGTGTTAACACAGGACTAACAGTTGGTATAATAGTGGTATCTTTACTTCTCATGGTAACATTGTTTATTGGTGGTGTGTATTGTATCAGAAGGTATGTATCTATATGTATTATATCAAGGGGTATGTATCTCTATTGGTATCAGAAGGTATGTATCAATATCGGTGAGATTATCATACCAGGTGGTGTGTATGTACTTACATTTTACCAATAGATTCAAGTCTTAATTTTACAATTGTAATGGTAGTCAACAAACCGATTTGATGGAAGGGGTTGAGATGTCTAATGTGTTTTACATTTCAGGAAGATGAAACAGACAAAACATTCGCGAGAGGAACAAAATATGGCACGTGCTGTAAATACAGTTGATACAAGTTTGTATGCAGGTTTGACGAATATCGGCGGACTGGAACATGATTATTCAGACCTGGTGAACCATAACGGACACGATGTCGTGAATAACCATGGACCGGCACACGTTTATGCAGGTATTGTAAACCGGAACCTTTCAGATGCCGTGAACGGTAGACCGGGACACGATTATACAGGTCCGGTGTACGAAAACAGACCCGATGCTGTAATCAACGGTGAACACTCTACAGATCCAAATGAGACAGGACATGGTTACACTGCTGTGGGTCACCCGACTCGGGTTCAAACAGAAGCTTCTACTAACGATGATTATGAAAATACCTTCGTAAATACAAATGAGCAATAATACCACCTGAGCGTGAACAGTTAAACGACTTGTTTAAATCTAGATTATTCCATCTGAATATTAGTAATTTTTGGTATATAAATCTGGGAGTTCGTTCTTTTAAATCGTTTAATTATATATATGGGATAGAGTACGCAACCATCGACGGGATTGTAATATTGAAAATGGACCCTTATTTGTAAATAGACATATCTTTAAATGTGCACAACACCTACTAGTAAAATTCCAAATTTTCCCTTTTTATAAAATGAAATTCGATGACACCACGAAAAGGAAATTAATGGAAAACCATTTTATTAAAAAATACGTTCCTCGACTTAATAGTCAATAAGTAACAATTGGCCATATATATAGCTTTCTTAATTTTCTTAAATCTATCCCATGATTATCTTCCACTCATTGTTCCTAAATTGAACCCATATACTGCAGATTAACACACGTGTGTACATATTTTCTATTAGTTAACGACATACTATGTAACCATAGACAATGGTAACTATAGCCAATTAAAACCACGGTGTTACTATGTAAATATGTATAAATATACTATACTGTCCATCTTATATCTTCTGATTTTGATTTGACAGTTTTTACGTATTATTAAAACGGAAACGGGTTTCTTTTTCGACGTTCCAAAGTAAATGTACGGTGGTAAGACCACCTAAAGACAAGTTTTTAAATGGTCCTGGTATTAATTAGGTTTCGCATTAGTTTTTATATTTTAAGCTAACATTTTATTGCTTTAAATCTTTTTAGTTCCAAAATGGATGAGTTAGATATTTCCAATTAGATGTATCAATATGTGCCCATTTGATACCCCCCCCCCCCGCCACACACACACAACGAAATGAGCCCCCGGTCATAATATGGGTGTTAGATATTTTTGATTGGGTGTGTCAACATGTGCGTATTATTTATGAAGTGTGTCGTAGGTTTTTATTTTTACATAAATAAAAACAATCATGAATAATACTCGCGACGGTTGAAGGCGGATTTGTTTGTTGCTTAGATTTGTGACGTCAATTGTTTTAGCCGTGTTGGTTATTTCAGGTTGGTCGGGAAGGAGTTTTGGTAGGCTGGGGAAGCGATCGGGTTCGTTGGGGATTTCAGGTGGGTCGGGCTCGTTTAGGCTGGTCGAGGAGGAGTTTGGATCGATTGAATATGCGGTTGGGGAATTCGGGGAGAAGCTCGGGTCCATTTGGCAGTTCAGGGAAGGGGCCCGGGTCAGTTGTGGAGTTCAGAATGGGTTGGGGCGGAAGTTAGCCTAGAAGCATTCCCCAAAACACCAAACAACAAGCTTTTCTTCATAGGTAAAGGTTGTTGAATTTTAAGCATTATATTTCATTAATTGCAATGTTTTGAAAAATTATAGGCCGGTCTCAAATTTAAGTTTTATATCTAAAATACTTGAAAAATGTATTGCCAGTCAGTTGAAGTGTCATATTGAAGATAATTCTCTTCACGAGCCTCTACAGAGCGCATATAAAAAAAAATACACAGTTCTGAAACTGCTTTAATTCGTGTTTCAAATTATTTTCTTTTAGCTCTTGATAACCAAAAATATATTCTTTTATTATTATTATTATTAGACCTGTCTGCTGACTTTGACACAGTCGACCACAACATCCTTTTAAATCGTATCCGTTTTAGATTATGGTATTAATAGATCTGCTTTTAATCTTTTAGAAAGTTATTTAATTGGTATGCAGCAATGTGTTGTTTTAAATGGTAAATATTTTTCTCATTGAATATAAATTGTGTATGTTAAAACACTTTCTAAAATTAAATGATGATAAAACTGAATATTTATTAATTGGCTCAAATAAACAATTGTTAAAAATTGACTGTAAATCTCCCTTCTTAATTGGTAATAGTGAAATTAATCCCTCGTCGTCTGCAAGTAACATTGGTGTAATATTTAATATGAATATGAGTATGGAAGCTCAAGTAAATTATATATGTAAATTGTGTTATTGTAATATTAGAAATATTGATAGAATACGTAAATTTATCCCTTTAGACTCCACAAAAACTCTTGTTAATACTTTGGTCACTTCTAGACTGGATAATTTTAATCCGTTATTAGCTGCTCTTGCAGCCAAACTTTAAGATAAACTTCAACAACTCCAAAATACAGATGTGTGCCTTTTTACACGCAATAAAAAATATGATCGTATTAACCCAATTTTAAAACCTTTACACTGGTTACCTATTTCTTATAGAATTGATTTTAAAATTTTATTGTTAACTTTTAAATGTTTGAACAACTTATATACCAGGGCGATGTTTACGTTCTTCAGATGATAATTTTCTTTTAAAGGCCAAATATTCAAAACTGTTAACTTTTGGTCGAAGTTCGTTTATTGTTAAAGCAACATCTTTATGGAATAAGTTATCGTATGATATCAGGTTCTGTAATAATATTAATACTTTTAAGAAAAAACTGAAAACCAATTATTTCATCAAGCTTTTTAAATGTATATATCTTGCAATTTATACAGATTATTGTGTTTTCTTAGTATTGTCTTGGTATTGTATTGTTAATTTTCATGATTTTATCATTTTTATATTTTTACCATTGTAAAGCACCTCTGAAAACGTGTATGTGAAAGAGGGACTATAACAAATGTTTGTAATAATAATAGTATATATGTTATCATAAAGTTGGTTGCTAGGACAGTGGCCTTATATGTGTTCCTGGCTTTTGATGAGAGATCAAACTAGGTTTAGTGGGAACTTGTTGAATTTCTTGAAATGTATTATTGTTTATGATATAGCATAGATACTTTTCTTGTTCAAAATATTTTTTTTTTTTTTAAATTTAACATGACAATAGCAAATCTCTCATCGTTATCTTACAACCTGACCACAGTATGTCGCATTATTTTACATAATATAGTGTACGTGTTTCACTTATGATACACAATTTATTAAATAATAACCATGAAATGTTAGCTTAATCTATTAGGATGTTTAAATGGTCTTGCGACTATCTCTTATTCAAAGGGTTAATATTTGTAAATTTCTCTATAATCCCCTTAACATGTTTAATTTAGTTCCAAGTATACGGTCAGTATTCTTACTGTGCAAGTCTTTAATACACGTTTGAACCATACTCAGCGTATATAATTTATTTGGATGTATTATTATTTTGTTATTAAGGTTACTATTTTTATATTAAGCATAGTATGAAATGTTAAATTGAGAATTACATCACGTGATATATGCAATTTCATACATAGTTATGCACATACGTTTAATATCAAACGTCGCATACAATATGTTATATTAATTCGAACAATGCCAGACGTAAGGCAAAGATTTATATGTTCTTTTGCTAAAGACATTAAATATATTTCGAATCGTAATATTGTAATTACAATGTATTCTGAACCGTATTGTTATAACCAGTCTTATCATTTATTTTCGTGCATATTGTTTAAATATTATGTATTCATTATATATTATATATTTTCTTACTGTGTCAGTCTTTAATAAACGTCTGAACCTTCATCAGCGTATATAATTTATTATTTTTAGATCCCCCAGAATATATTGGGAACGTGAAAGATCCTTTAACTAATATACTGAGCTACACCCCCAAAGTCATAACTATTACCGATTACATAGCAAACGGATGCTATTGCCCCAGGGAAACTTGCTTGACAGCTGTGCCTGGGACCAGTGCAAGATTTAGAATGAAAGGCCGCCTAGGAAAATCCGCTTATGAGACGTCTCCCAAAAAGCCATTTCCAAGAAACGACGCACATTGGCCTTCCCCTTTTTTGATCGGCTGCCACATAAACGGTTTTGCAACTGAATGCAACGAGTTACGAGAGGGCAGTGTGAAGTTTAATCGTTTTTCGTTATTCACCAATAACGAATAAGGAGGTAGTCACCTCGTCATTCGCGAATAACAATGGATACGCCACCTGGTTATTCGCGAAAACTGGATTGCAAAGTATCCCCTAGCAGTGTTCAGCGACAGCAAAAGATAAAGAGAGGGGAGGGGTTGAGTAGGAGTGGGTGGAGTAGGGTAGGAGGGTGTGACATCTACCATACTTGTTTACTAACCTCCGTGTTCAGCGACAGCAAAAGATAAAGTTTCTATAACTGGGGTTGTTCCACAAAACAACCAACTGAAATGAAACCAAATCTTTAAATATACCACGAATTATAATCTGCCTATTGCAGATCTTCCTTTAGGCCTTAAATGTTATCTAAATTATTAATTAGATATTTATAAACATGATAAGACCATAATCAATTCTCGATGCCATCGGATTCTTTAAATTCAGACACGATTGGCGGTTAGTGATTTAAGTAAAAAAAAAGTTGATAAACCAGACTTTGTTTACTATCGTAGCATCGTAGGAATGACAATCGAGACTCCAGTATTCTCCAACACCTCGTTATTCGTTATTCAACTAGTTATTCGGGCTTATACCATTTAAACATATATCAAAGTCTATAAAAATGATGAAAATATAATTAAATACTTAAAATTAAAATTCACAACAACAATTCGCTTTTAAAAACTCTTACATATTTCCATCTTGTCCCCGCTAGGCAAATTCATTGTAAAATGACTGACAACGTGTTTAAAATATGTTTAACTGTCAAAAGTATTAGGGATGAGGATGAAAATAGTAGCTACAATAGTCTGGCTAAAATGAAAGCGACTCAAAGCAAGCTCAGTTTTTCTGTAGACATTTCGTTGAGAGACTTCATGTTCTGAACCTTTATTGGACTAGATAACTGCACAGTTGCAAAGCAACAATGTGTGTAACCCAGATGACTTCCTGTTTCATGCAACGTCTGCAGTTGACGATCGAAAGAGAAGAAGACGTATCTCTGACAGATTAGTTAGTTGATAAGTTGTTGATTCCCAGTGCAAAAAAGTATTTATCGATTAGTTTGCCGGAAAGAATTAAAAAAAAACATGCTTATGTTATACACACTGTTCAAATGTTTAGTAACTATACTCAGATGCGAAATTACCACACTCCGGTGGGTCACCCTTTTTCAAAATAGCTATCACATTGGGTGTTTGCCAAATAGAACGGACATGAAATGGGGTTTAACGTCCTACTGTTCTGCTTCGACTAGGTTAATGAAGACGGGCATATGCCATACTGTATGGTATGAGGTACATTTAGTCCGGAAAGCGGCGCTACGGTCTTCTTTTATCGAATTCCAACTGGACGCCAATGTGTAAACGGGAACGCGGGTTTTCGTCCCTTCCAAAACACTTGTCAGGCCCTCCATTATGCACCACTGACAATCGGAAACCATGCTGGAAAATCCAGTCTTGCTCACTTATCAACCGTGGCTCCTTTCAAATAGAGGGTACTGTTTTAGAAGAAATGAAATGAAATGAGGTTTTAATCACGTCGTCAAGACAAAGCACACAACATGAGATCTTAAAGATGATGTAATGCTTGATACATATCGTTGGATATCGTTCACTAGGTAGCGTATGGGAGCGTAATACTACTTCTGATGTTTTATTGTTATACATATCTAGTGAATTATTGTTGTACGTTGCATTGCACAATATTTAATTATATCTATATTACTAAACAATTAGCACTGTATAGTATCTGCTAAATAAATGTTATAAAACGCGATGATACACCTTCCCTTTACAAATAAAATATGTGGGGGCTGACAGCCCATTTATTACAACACGTTTATTGTACAATATATTTAATGTTACGCCTTGTGACTACCCAGTCTCTTCTTACGTTTCAAACCTTCACTGCTTTAATATGCAACTGATAATATTGTGTGTTGATTTCACCTGGAATACTAACTACTATATGGTGTGCTTATTTCAAGTTGAGTATTAACTAGTATATGGTGTGCCGATTTCAAATTGATTGTTACCTAATGTCAGTTTGAACCGTGACAAGAATACAATGTACTAACATAATTTTACCTGGTGTACTGACAGTACCTTGACAAGTATACAGTGTAGAGACAGAATATTACCTGGTGTGGCTAGTATACAGAATATTACCTGTACAATTTCACCTGGAAGAAAGTTAACAGGCCAGCGTTTCATATTGGAAACGAGTTTATCATCATGTATGATATCAAGTATTTATTACTTCTTACAACAGGTAATAATGAGATAAATCTTATTTCCATATTAATAATTTGTTATAGGTCCACGTGAATCCCCGCACCCTGACAATAGAAAACGTATAGTCGTTCAAGTGGGACGATAAACCGAGGTCCCGTGTACATATTGGTGTGCACATCAAACAAACAACCTGCAGAATATTGAAAGTCTCTAATAACGACAGGATAAACTATATACTTCCGAACATCCAATTAAAGGACACCACTATTCTATTAACAAACATGATTCTGTAAGTAATGGGGACGTCATGAGAGTCGACCGGTACGGGAGCGAAAACCTAGCCTCAAAGGATAGTCGTCGTCAGTGTCTTTGTCATTAGCCATAATACATTTAAAACAAGAGTTGTGCCGTTAAACAAACCTACGATTCCAAGACTAGAGATGTTGGCCTGTTTAGTTTCCTTCGTTTAGCCTCCAGCGTGATAGAATCATTAAAGGACAGTCTAGATGTAAATGTTTATTATTGGATTGAGTCAACAGTCGCGCTTAATTGGATTAAAAACGTGAATAAAGAATATAAACAGTTTGTTCAAAATCGAGTTATAGAGACTACTGTAAAACCAAAGATAATCCAACAGATATATGTTCGCGTGGCTGCAAAGCAAATGATTTAATTAATAACGAGTGGAATGGTCCTAAATTCCTGTTTCAAGATTTAAATATACAATTGCACACTCCTGAACCTGGGTTTGTAGAAATAGAGTCCGAAATAAAGACTTATGTTTGTTTAAGTAGCACAAGTGCATGTTGTAACATTGAACAATTGGTGGATCTTTCTAAATATAGTAAATTCCAAAAAATATTGCGTGTAACAGCTTATGTATTGCGATTTATATTGAATGTCAAAGCACGTTTGAACCAAAACGAAGTTAAGAGCGGTGAATTGTCTGATGATGAGTTGAGGTGTTCAGAAACAATATGGTTAAGAGATATTCAGAATCAAATACCTAATGATGACAAATTCAAGCAATGCAAAGTTTCTCTTAGTATCAAAGAAGATGAAAAGAAAGTTTTACGCTGTTACGGTCGGATAGAAAATGCCAGTGTACCATACGACACCAAATTTCCAATTTTTCTTCCTGAAAGTTTCTTCCTGAAAATCATGCGTTAACAAGACTGATTATTGCACAATGCCATGAAGATATTTTTCACAATGGTACCCAAGAAACGTTGGTGCAGCTTCGCACAAAATATTGGGTGTGTCAGAAAGTTCGCCAGATTATTCAACGATGTGTAGTGTGTAGACAACTAGAAGGACAATCCTATGATGTTCCATTACCTCCTCCTCTTCCTGAGTTTAGATTGTCAAGTGATTTTGCTTTCTTAAATATTGGCGTCGATTACGCGGTCCACTTTATGTCAAAGATATTTATTCTAAGAGCGATGATATGTATAAAGTGTTTATCGTGATTTATACGTGTGCGAGTTCTCGTGCTGTCCACTTAGACCTAGTTCCCGATCCTAGTTCATCTACGTTTATCAGAAGTTTTCAAAGGTTTATTGGTAGACGTGGAATTCCTTCGTTTGTCATTTCTGATAATGGCAAAGCTTTCAAGAGTGAAGAGTTACGAGTCTTTGTAAAATCTAAGAACATTAAATGGTTTTATAATGTTGAGCGGTCCCCATGTTGGGGCGGATTTTTTGAGCGAATGGTTCGCCCCGTTAAGCGATGCTTGATGAAAACTCTTGGTAGTGCGCGGTTAACCTATGAAGAACTGTTAACTTTATTAGTTCAGATTGAAGGGGTTATAAATTCAAGGCCTCGCACTTATGTAGATGAATATTCTTATAATCCTCATACTCCTTCCCATCTTGTAATTGGAAGACGACTTTTAACAGAATCGACCTCTGTTATTGATGAACAGCCTGTATGTAGTAATAGTGAACAAGAAGGTGTGAAGCGCAAACGTTATTTGTGCAAGGTATTGGAATATTTTTGGAAAAGATGGAAATCTGAATATGTTACAGAACTTCGCGAGCATCATCGCGTTCGTGCCAAACGCCGTCCCATTATTCAAGAGGGGGACGTCGTACTTGTATTTGAGGATAAAGTGCCACGTATGAATTGGAATATGGCGCGAGTAGTGTAAACATTAATAGGAAGAGATAACAATATTCGTTCCGCGGTAGTCCGGGTACATAATAAACTTGGTAAAATGATTGAAATGAATCGTCCTATCCAAAAACTCTTTCCAGTTGAACTTGTGACTGACAGTAAATAATGTGTATTGTCCATAGACTCATTTTGTTATGTGTGTATTTGTAGTTATGTTTTGCTGAGAAATTTATTGGTGTGAAAATTGTCCATTTCAATTCGGTTTCTATTTTATTGACTCTCCCTAGTCAATAGGGGGGGGGGGTAGAAT